TACCAAAAAATTTGCAGCCCTTTCCTAAATCATGCTTTTTCAAGTGTCTTCGAACGAATTGCGAGTTCCTTTGAAGTTAAACTCTTGACGTCGTCAGATCCACGTTCACTTGAAGCTTGCTCTATTCATGTCCAGATTTTCCTTGTGTTTGCTTACAGTGAGCTTACCTTAATTATGTAAATAATATTTCAAAAACGGAGATATTTATGTTAATTCTTTGCTTAATAAATGAAAACATTTTGTAAATTTGTGTCAAATCCCTAATAAGAATTTATATGAGTAAATGATTACAGCAGATTTACTATACATTTTTGGCGTCTACGTTACTCGTATGCCTTTCTTATGTAAAACAGGTAGAGCAGTTATTACCAGAGCTTTCGCAGTCGCATTACTTCTTAAGAGAACAGACTCTTATCTCAGAGGCTATGGCTTGTTTATCGTCCGACTCCCATTTATGAGTTCGTTATTTCCCTATTCTTACAACATAAAATGTCGTCCATAAGAATAAGTCGGGCTTTTATCTGTCTACGTACATCGAGAAGGGGAAATAATGAGGGGACTTATATGGATCGATACCGATTAACTTGTTGTTATGGTCTATTTAATAAAGTCAGAAGTACCGTTTGTGGTTAGATTGTAACGAGACGAAAATATTTTGCAATCGTATCGCCCAGACTTGGCTTAGTCGGATATCGTAAACTCCACCTTCTCTGTTTCCAATGTTTCCATTTACATATTCTGAGAAATTTCACGGTCGACAGATGAAACCTCGGATAATTTTCATATGAAATGGATTTCTGGCAAATCTATTATCGTACACACATAACCAGACGTCTTCATAAAATTATATTACAGGGAGAATTTACAGTAGATCAAGAAGGTTTCGCTGTTCATAAAAGTTTGTTATTAAGCTACTATATAAATTTGCTGATAATTGACTGCAGAGGATGTTATGCACATAATAAAATCTAGTTTCCGTGTAGAGATAAGCCACATTATGTGCAAATTAGAAAAACAACCTATTTCATGTCGTTCAGTCCGGTGACCCGTTTCCACCAGAGGCACTCGCGACATCTTATTATATTTTATGAAGCTCCCATACATTCCTGAGGGGATTTGTAATGTTCGCTACTCGGCAACATTGTCCTCGGATCTTATTACCACCTTTCTACATTACTTTTTGCTGTTAGCGTTTTTGTTCTCGTGTCGTGATTTGCGATGTACAATTGTATAACATATATTTATTTGTTACACTTTTCATAGATATATTTGTCTAAATACTATTTAGGTTAAAAAAGTAAGCTATATATATTTAAGAAATGTGTATAATTTGTCCGATCACTAACTGTTACCCCCTGCTTCGTATACCTAAAGTATTTACTGATATGAAACTCTTTATTTCTTGAGTTGTAATAGCTTTCGTAATTGACAGCTCGCTCGTGAACTCGACCACTATTAGATATGACGTACATGTTGACTAAATAAAAAAAAATTGAGTTTAAAAAATCTTAATAGTTTGCGCAAACCCAATTCAAACAGAAGTGATAATACTGATAAAAAACCTTATCTTTTATATGAATTCTTGGTATGGATACTACTCCCTAACATTAACTTTAATGTTTACATCAAGTTTCCCTCCGACTTTACCAATTTAAATGGGCAAAATCTCAAACGAAGTAACTCATTCAAGCAATTCAATTCTGAAAACAGAACAAACCGCATCCCTTAATTAGAACCGGAGCTATAGAGAAAAAAAAATGTCTAGTAACATGAGATATGTACAGTAGGAAATTACGTTTGTGTGAGAAGGGTGAAAGGTGCTGGTTAGGTGGATTACAAATCTATAAATTTGCGCATTATTTAAAAAAATTAAGCAAAGTTGTTGATGGAATGGCTGGACAGACTCTAAAGAGTTTTTTTTTAATGGAGATAAATTATCACCTTGTGAGAACTCTATCACGTTTTGGGTACCCTGTTGTTTTTCTGTGTGAGGGACGTTGTTTCAGGCTAATATTCTGTCGAGATTGAAGTGGCCCTTATTTTAGCCGCTTTGATTCTAAAGCTGTTACTCCGATTAACAAAGGGTACAGTTTAGTATTGCACAGTTTTTGTAGTAGTTTGCCTTCTCTGTCTGCTTTTGAAGCATTTAATATGAACTGACTCCAAACTCTGATTTAATTATTATATTACGAAATACATTATGCAAAAAAAAAAAAACTTTAAAAAAGACTTTAGCAAAGAAATATAAAAGGCACAATTCACAAAAAAATAACAGGTCTAAATTTATCATCTTCAATTCAGCTATAAGATCCTTAAACACCATTATCAAATAATAAAGAAAGATGTCACGTTTTATATTTCTTACAGCACGTAGTGGAAGCGTACGCTCTAACTGATTACTAGGAATATTGATGGTTGTGATAGGGGCACTGAAAACGAGGATGAAAGCAATTTAAAATATGTGTAATAGCAGCAGTCCATGTAATAGCAGCTAATGCATGTGAGTATGGAAAAAGTTTTTCGAGCAGCCATTCTCAGCGCAATCTCAAATTAAATCTCCGCCGGCGGGTCGGAGACGCGAACTGCCAGCCGTCGTTATAAAATATGTATACAATAGGCTTTTTTCGGGACTTTTATTAGGTAACATATAGACCACGAACTTTTTTTAGAATAAGAAATGTTTTTAAGCTAGAGATCAGCTCGTTTCAGGTAAATCACTTAGGTTAAAAGTTAGCTTAACAAACTTTACTATACGAGTATTTCTTTTTTTACTTTGGATATTAATTAACTAAACGCAAGTAAAACGAAAACATTCAATTCAGTACCATAAAAGGGAATTAAGTTTTATGTTCTTAGAGACTGCCACGCATGAGTAACATTACCTACCAGTATTCTTGTTATCTACTCAAATAGATAAAATGCATTTATCTCGCCGATATAATACTTCACATCTACCGAATAGTTAAGATGCAATTACATAATTAAACTGATCATTTATCTACCTTGTCCTAACTAATAAATGCGAAAGTGAGATTATTTTCCACGCTTTAATATCTTAAGTACAGACCGGTTATTACGAAATTTTGTTTGAATTTTTCATGGTATAGGATTGTATCATCACAAGAGGGGGTCATCTGTAGATGGCCCGAAGTACGTCGGGGTACCAGTGATTTCCTTGTTAGTTTACACCTGGTTTGGTTGCCCGGCTACTGATACCCGAGACGGCGTGCTGTTTTTGGTCCCGGTCCCGGTCGGTCCCGGTCGGTGTGTCTTGTAAAAATTAGTAAGTTGTGAAGTTCTGAAAACAACACTTTTAACCAATTTTAGTAGACAAGGTCTCAATTGAAAGACCTCCATTCAACGAGTATCTTAGACCAAAACAAACCACGTACCACCGTTGACAAAGAAAGCTATTCTAAAAGAAGATGGTACAGGAGGAAATCGTGTTTTGAATATGTTGAGAAGGTTTGAAAAAGAAAAAGATTGTAAAATGGTTTGGTAGAACTACCGGACAGACTTGTAATAGATTTTTTTAAATACATATGATCAATGGCCCGCCAGGTGATCTCCAGTACAAATTATAGATAGAATAAGAAGAATAATAAAAAAAATATAGAGATAATAGAATAAGCTTTCAGTTGTTTTTTTTGCACGTTCTGTGATTATTAAATTAAGGAGTGTGAACTGGGCCCAGAGTAGTGCACTGTGGTATACCTCAGGGTTCGATTCTAGGTCCTCTCTTGTTTCTAATATTCACACACAGCAAACGAAATATTAAGTATTGTTTGGACTTATTTGAGTGTATTTGTAATAAAGTCTCTTAAGTAGTGAGGAGGTATATTATTCCAAATTAACGAATCCTAAAAAAACACTAAGTATAGCAACACAATCGTTACAGGTAAGGAATATTTATCTTTCAAATACATAAATAAGAAACATCAAATTATATAAATAAGAATGTATGTACATTATGATTAACAAGAAAAACAGTTATGTTATTTCATCTTATTGTTCCACATAAAGCACCTAAATATATAAAGTTTTCAAAAAGATATAAAAAGGATATCAGCAGGTGATAGGTATCAGATTAACAATATCGAGAAAGGATAACCTGTTTATGGATGTAGTATTAAAAAGTTATCGTATACAAAGCACTACTGAAAAAATACAGTCGCTCCGGAATCAAGGACCTAATTATCATTTAATTAACCATTTAAATTTTGATAAAGTGTTTCTCAAAACGCTTTTTACATATTTTGTTATAAACCTACCTGCCTATCTTTTCCATGCCGTTAAAATTAGCGTTATATTCATTTAACATGGCAAAAACTTAAAATAACTAATCAGTGCATGAGTCTTACAAAGCATTAAATAAACTTGTTCGTTATACAAAAGTTGTTCTAAACTCATGGCTACTGTAAATTGCGACGACTAGTCACCATTAGCTTAATTACTTACAAAACGAAATATATACAAAATCTTATAATAGTCTACAATCTATTCAGTGTTTCTGTCGAAAGCGCTCCTTATAATCAAAAGTGTACATTCAATGTTGCTGCTAAATAATTTAGTCTCAAAAATAAGTCATGTTCCATGAATAAACAAGACTTCTATAAAATTTATAATATACAGTGATAAAACATAGCGAGTCAATGTCCTAGGCAGACGGCCACAAATGTAACCAGGCACACATTATTTGCAAAATGATGTGATAAAACACGATTTATAATAATTTGGACACAGCTGAAATTTAAAGACCGTAATTGCTTAGATAACTGCTGTAAATATACTTGGGTATTACTCGTGAATAAACTCTTAGTAGAGGTAATAATTCCTCTAATGTTTGATACGCATAGTTAATATTATTATATATACAATGTAGGTACATCTCATGAGATTTAAGCCGTCCAATTAATAGAGGCTGTCACCTCTGTTATGAATTGTCTTATTGTACTGAATAGATCACACAACTATTACAAAGGGAGCGTGTGAAGACAAGACTACTTCCTTCTGAGATTTTCGGGTACATAGTTGTCTTTTCCAGGAATGCCAGTCCCACCAGAGTCGCCTAGCCATGGGTACCTGCAACAATATATTTCATACAGTACACGATTAAGTTATCTATATGTATATATAATAAATGATAATGAAGATAATAAAATCCCCTTTAAGTTTTAATTAACATAAATCTGTTAGGTAAAAATAAAGTATATTTATTGACAATTACGTCATTTTTAACCTACACAAAACCAGGGGGTTCTGTTTTCGATTCGTATATACATAATTATATATATATATATATATATATATATATATGTATATATATATATATATACACACATTTGTATATCCCTAATTTTTTAAAGTATCTTCTTTCAACGTATTCTTTACATTTTCTGGAAGTTCGAGTTACCTTCTTTTTCTCACTGGTCAGAATAAGAGGTTTGGGAAATCTATAAAAAACCCTACCTTCCGAACTCATCCAGGAATAGCCAACAAACTCGCTTTAGTTTGGCATCCCTTTTTGATGGTATAAGGAGCAAACGAACAGATGATTCACCTGATGGTAGGTGACTACCACCGCCCATAGACTCCTGCAACTCAAGAGCCACAAGTGCGTTGCCGCCTTTTGAGTCCCTCTCCCTAGATTCAGGGATAGGTGGGTTTGGACTCCGGTAACCTCACTCACTCCGTGAAAATTAATGTTTAATGCCGATTTTCTGCGAGGCTGTGGTCACTCATCACTCTGGTCGAGCCGACCCATATGTGCCAAATTTTTATTTTATTTATTTTTAGCCTGTATGCCACTGTAGGACAAAGGCCTCCCTCTCGCCCTTCCACATCTCTCTGTCATCTGCTAGTTCGGACCAGTCTTTCCCGAAACCGTCAAGATTGTCTCGCTATCGCCGCCTGGGCCTACCACGTTGTCGTTTATGTGCTAAAGAAAAGTAATTATTCTCTTGTTTAGAAACGTTTGCAGAGCTTATCTTATTTTTTTGTCTCGTTTTAAACAATTAACATTTTTATCTGTTACCACTAATGATAACAAACACAAAGACTTAACGATACTATGTCTACCGCCCCTAAAGATACCACAAAAATGACCACATCAACAGTTCTAACAAACAAAATGCCACCCTACATATGCATTTATGTTTTATGAAACATGCTAAATTTATAAATTGTATACTATAGTAAAATATATAAAGTAATACTACATTTTTTTTTTTTTTTTTTTTTTTTTTTTTTTTTTTTTTTTTTTTTTTAAAGAACTTAGGTACAATACCTCTTCACTGGGGTGAAGTCCCGGGGCGGTGTTACGGCTTAAAGCCAAAAACACCGCCCCGGGACCCGATGGCATCCCTGGCCGAGCGTGGGTCCTGGCCTTAGTCGACGAGGCTCTCGAGCCCCGACTGCGAGGGTTCTTCAGCGCATGCCTAGAGCGGGGCCAGTTTCCGAAATTGTGGAGGACGGGGAAACTGGTCCTCATCCGAAAGGAGGGGCGCCCGGCGGACTCACCGTCCGCCTACCGGCCCATAGTGTTGCTTGACGAGGTGTGCAAGCTCTTTGAAAGAGTGATTGCAAGGCGCCTCGTCAAGCATCTCGTGATGGTTGGGCCGGATCTGGCGGACAACCAGTACGGTTTCCGTCAGGGGCGCTCCACCGTGGATGCGATCATGCGCGTGAAGGCTCTGGCGGAGGAAGCAGTCTCCCGGGGCGAAGTGGTGTTGGCGGTGTCCTTGGACATCGCCAACGCGTTCAACACTATGCCCTGGAGCTGCATCAGGGAGGCGCTCGTGTATCACGAAGTGCCTCTCTACCTCCGCCGCATAGTCGGGGCATATTTGTCGGAGAGAGCCGTCGTCTACCCCAGTAGGACCGGTCTCGGTAGGCGTGAAATGTCGTGCGGTGTTCCGCAGGGGTCGGTGTTAGGGCCACTCTTGTGGAACATCGGCTACGACTGGGTGCTTCGTGGTGCCTTCTTGGATGGTGTCGCCGTCGTGTGCTACGCGGACGACACACTCGTGACGGCGCGCGGCAAGACGCACCACGAGGCAACCCTGAGGGCCACGGCCGGGGTTGCCCAAGTCGTTGAGCGTATCCGGCGGCTGGGTCTCGAGGTGGCTCTGCACAAGTCCGAGGCCCTGTTCTTCCACGGGCTTCGGAGGAAGCCGCCTGAGGGATCTAGCCTCACGGTAGGAGGCACTCGCATCGGCATCGAGCCCTCGATCAGGTATCTGGGGCTCGTACTCGATGGCCGATGGGACTTCGGATATCATTTCCGAGGTCTGGTCCCCAAGTTGGTTGGGGCAGCGCGTGCGTTGGCGCGGCTGCTGCCCAACATGAAGGGACCCGATGACTCCTGCCGGAGACTCTACTCGGGGGTTGTGCGGTCCATGGCCCTTTACGGGTGCCCAGTATGGGCGGGGGCCCTGAAGGCCAGCAACGTCGCGATACTGCGGCGACCGCAGCGAATGCTGGCCATCAGGATCATAAGGGGGTACCGCACGATCTCCTTCGAGGCGGCGAGTCTCCTGGCCGGAACTCCACCGTGGGACCTGGAGGCGAGAGCCCTTGCAGCACTGTATCAGTGGCGCAAGGAGGCGCAGGAGTTGGGTCGATACCCCGAGATTCGAGAAATCGATGACCGGAAATCCCAACTCCGCCAGGTCATCATAGGGGAGTGGAGGGAACGACTCGGGCAACCGAGCGCCGGGCACGCCGTCATTGCGGCGGTAAGACCCGTTATGGAGGATTGGCTCGAGAGGCGTCACGGGACCCTCTCATACCGATTGACGCAGGTGATCACTGGGAAGGGATGTTTCGGAGATCACCTGTGTCTGATCCGCAAGGAGCCAACGCCTGAGTGCCACCACTGCGATGGCCAGACCGTGGACACGGCTCTCCACACGCTGGCAGAGTGCCCGGCGTGGGTTGAGCAGAGGCGAGACCTCGTGGCGGCCATCGGAGTGGGAGTTCTCTCGCTCGATAGCCTGATTGCGGCTATCGTGCGGAGCGAGAGTGCGTGGAACTCTGCCGTCTCCTTCTGCGAGCAAGTTATGCTCGCGAAGGAGACGGCGGAGCGGGACCGGGAGAGGTTTAGAACTCTCCCGGCCCGCCAGGCCCGGGCACGGGCCAGGCAGCGCAGGCGACTCAGGCGCCGGAGGTCGCAGAACGACCTCCGTCCTCCATAAGCGCAGGCCTGGGGGTGACAGGTGAGGCCATCTGTCACCCTAGCAGAAGCAGGCCGGGGTGGCGGCGAGCGCGTTGCGAAACGCGCTCGCTTCCAGGGAGCACAGGGAACATGGGGTTCCCACACGGGGCGGGGGTCGTCTACTCGTCTGTAGATGACCCGAGGTATGTCGGGGCACCAGGGCCTTCCTTTCTAGGGTATACCTGGTTCCCCGGCTATTAGTACCCGGCGAAGGCGTGCGGTTTTAGTCGGTTCGAGTCCGACATGCCACCGACAGGTGGTATCCGAGGGGATTTCCGCACGCAAAAAAGGTACAATACCTCTGTACAAACATTGGAGATGTTTTCACTGCATAAAGAAACTTTTGTAGTTCAAAAATAAACAAAGAGCGCGCTACTCAGTCTGATATTTTTCAAAGAATAGTATGTTTTTTAAATTTCAGTTGCAAAACTCTAAAGCTAGTATGTACGTGTCAATTAGTGTAGAAGTACAATATTTGTGTAAATTTTAAGGATGAAGGATTATTATTTTTTTGTTTAGAATCCATGGACCACTTTTATCAAGTGAAGCATATTGCCGGGTGGACAGCAGGTGGACGTGTGCCTAATAATCTGAACTAATTTACCATACTCAAAATACACACCTGTCTAAAACAGTAAATCCTTAGCCGATAGGAATAAAACTCTCAAAAGTTTTTATTCTACTAGACCAATATTATTCTAATTCTATGCAGGTACATATATTATTAATAGTATATTTATACTCTAGATTGTATCTAAAATTGTTCATTTTAAAATGTTGAATGACATCTTGTATACAAAGTGAGACGACATGGTGGCACCGTAAAAATAAAATAAAAGACGTAATAACGTAAGCTAGAAGCTTTACCACCCAGGCATTGACGAGCGGTAAATGGTTTTTGTTATTACATAGTAAACCAGCGAAGTATGCAATATACATATGTATCTTATTTATAAATATACATAATTATGTGCAGTTACATAATCATGTAGTATACAGTGTCTCATGATCATATTTTATATACAACACTTGTCGTAACCTTATATCTGCTTAAAAATATCGGGTTTTAAGTTGTACACATTTACTTACCTACTTCTTTTAATAGAAAAATCCGTCTGACTAACATCATCCAACACTACTATATAAAAAATAAATAGATGTATTCATATTTATTTCCAACAGACCCAATAGGTTATAGCATGTATAAATGAACAAGTCCTATTCAGACAATCAGAAAAGAAAAAAAACCGGTCAGTTACGAGTCGAACTTGTGGGTGCTGAATGCTTGTCTAGGAAGCAATGGTTCCTTCAGGTACTGTTTTAAAATATCATCCAGTCCATCTTTGATTGGATTAGGAAACTAGCTATGAAATTTCCAAATTTTTTTATCTTTTTAAAACTACATCTTGTGAAGTCGTTAATGAATCTGTATCGCCTTCCAATAATTTAAGTAAATCGGTGATGTCATTTAATGACTTTGCACATGATTGAGCGTCAGTGAAATATATCTTTTTGAATCGGGGGTCTAATATCGTTGAAATCGCCAAAATATGTACTTTTTCGATATATTTGAAGCGTTTATCAATTTCGCCAAGTATATTTTTTTAAATTTTGAACTTATGTCGGAAGCATTGGAAATAGATGCAGTATTAGCAGATTCGATCGATTTGGTCATACAAAATATAATTGGTATAATAATACTACTTGTAACATAATCTTAACCCGAGATCTCTTTAGTAACATTTTCGATAAAAATAAATAATATAAAACATTAATAATTTATTCAAAGATGGTCATTTCATTGCCACCACATTTGATTTTGTTAGGACGCAATTGTCTGTAGAAACTGGGTGTGTTATGCGTGGACACAAAATTGTAATTCCAGGAAAATTGCAAAGTAAAATTCTAAAACAACTACATTTCATTTAGGAATTGTAAAGAGAAAGGCATGACCGCGGTTTTGGTTCCCGGAAATAGATGCAGCATTAGAGCGTTTGATTGGATCATGTGATGTTGGTATACAACTACGGCCGTCACCAACGCCGCCGCCGAACGCGCACTGGGAGTATCATTCACTACACCATTTTACAGGGTATAGACTTTCTGGGGCCTATTAACGGTCAAACCTTTTTAGTGGTAGTGGATACATATACCAAGTAGGTTGAAGTATATAATATAAAGTGCAATACTTCTAATTCAGCTACAATTGATAAGTTATAATATAACTTATCAATTGTAGCGGAAAGTTATGTAAAGATAGTTAAAAGGGTATTAAAACAAACTTCCTTAGTACTAATGGGGCACGAAATGTAAATAACCAACTATTAAGATACTTGTTTGACTACAGAAATTCCGTTCACACGGCAACTGACACCACTCCGGCTGAGCTTGTTTGCGGTCGAAAACTGAGAACGTGTCTTGATCTTTTGAAATCCGACTCGCCGACGCCATCATCCACGGCTCTTGCTAATGAGATAAAACACAAACAGTGTTTGAAAAACGTGACTGTTGGGCACAATGCTCAATTGTTTGCTAATGATTACAGAGACGGTCATCTGAAGAGAAAACGCTTTCGGGCACTAGCGAAGGGAGTGAGGACATGGCAAGAGCCATCACACCTCCAGGTACACCCCCATCTATTCAGACACAGTTTCCTCCACCACACAGTGCCCGGGAGGAGAAGGAGTTCCAAGAGAACCTATCCGGGTCCCTAACAAGTCGTAGAAGTGCCACCTCAACAGCAGGCAAGTGAAACAACTCGAACACCACGTTCTAAACGCAACCTGCCTATAGTAAACTACAAATTGTTTAATAGGATATCCTGATATGTTTAGCAATAGCATTAATTTTATGTTAGCTTATTGTATGTACTTCTACGCTAAGGGGAGGATTGTAACATATGAGTGCGTGTGTCGACTCACCTATAAATATTATGTTAACACAAAGAAACAACAGTGTGAAACCCGCCAGCGCTCGTATCACTTATTATCCATATTATCCACATACTTATCACTGTTAAATATGATTAACGGTGTTTGTATTAGATTTCATATATGGTAATTACGGTCATAAATCTATACTATACGAAGGAGCACAATTGTTTAACAAACTACCGAAATCTCAAAGAATACACTAATATAATTGTATTTAAAACAAAATTATATGAATATGTAATTAAACTTTGATTATAAATTGTGTTTAATTGACTGAGTAATAAATTTAAATAATTGTATCGAATAGTTTAGCTAAATGAATTTTTATCTATTATAAGTTGATTCTGTTTGGAATAACAATCACCGTCCGCTTTGTATAAAGTGCCAGACGGATACTAATTAGTAATGAATGTATTTAATTTCTTATTTTAAGTAAACTGTAAAGATTTTTATAAGAAATAAAGTTCTTTAAGCCGATATTCTATGAAAAGTTACATGCTGTGCAACATCACGTTAAGACCCTTAGAAGCGAAGAAGTTAGTTAGTAAACACAGATTAACTACTATGGTATATATAATGGGATTAATCCAATTGTATATACCATGAATATTATTAGTAAATAATATTTAGGACCAGACTGAATATAATTCAAAGTCTTTTAAAACATAGCCACTTTCCTACTACATACATGCCTTCAAATGTATTTATATAAGAGAAAAATAAAGTTTCGCGAAAGCGAAAATATAATAAAAACTTGCCAAATTTCATCTATACGAGTATAAATGAAATTTGGCAGGTAGGCAGTTAGGTATAAATAACAGAAGTCACTAAAGAACAGAGACTAATTTAAGAGTAGCTAGGTTGTTTCAGATTCATTTGCAGCACCTTTTTTTTTCATTTTACGCTTCCTTTTTACTGTATTTTTATCCAATATTTAGATGTTTCCATATTTAATGGCTAATGTATTAACTAAACAAACAAAAATAGAGTAATTTTTCTTCTTGCTCATCATACAAGTATTTGTCAAGAGTGGGAATCGAACCCACAATATACAGGTCATCAGTCAGAGTCACTAACTACTAGACCAAGCCAGTCATGAAAGAAATGAAAAGTAAATGTTACTTACTGGTTAGGGCATTCGCTACAAGTCTCCATGTATCGGGTATCAGTAAAGTTGCTCTCGGGTTGCTTGAATGAGAGTGCACACTTGTTGGCCAGGTTGCAAGGAGCTGCAGGAAGATCTTTGCGGTCACAGCGCCAGGCTTCATAGTTGATTAACGATTTCACTGGTTTAGGATCTGTCATCCAAGTCAACGCTTGTGTCACAGTTACAAACCATACATCTTGTCTGAAATAGAAAAAGTATAAATTTAAAAAACACGGTTCCAGTAAATTTTTCCACTGCTTTTAATTTTACGTGCACTTATAGTCCCAGTGCATACTCATTGTTACGACAATTACTCTATAAATACATTCGTACTGTACTATAAACCGCCTATACATAGTTTTAAAAATATATTTATTTATATTACATAACAGGATTCCTTAATGTTTCAATGCTCAGAAAAGGATCATCGTTTCAAAGTGAAGAATTCTGTGATGTGAAAAGATGAAACGTGGACACTTACGGCTGGTCCACAAGTTCAAAGTCGCTCAACGTGCTATGGAAAGGGCTATGCTCGGCATTTCTTTAAGGGATCGCATAAGGAATGAGGTGATCCGGCAGAGAACCAAGGTCACCGACATAGCCTACCGGATCAGCAAGCTGAAGTGGCAGTGGGCTGGCTACATTAGGAGCAGAACCGACAACCGTTGGGGAAAACGAGTTTTGAGTGGAGACCGCGTCTCGGCAAACGTAGTGTAGGACGCCCACAGGCCAGGTGGAGTGACGATTTGCTCAAGACGGCTGGCAGGAGCTGGATGACTATTACAAAGCTATAAGGAAATGAAACTGTTCATTTCCTATTTTTTATGTTAAAGGGGCAGACGAGCTGTCGAGTCGGTCGTTGGTCAGTCTTTGTTGGCCTTTTAGAAAGGAGCACGCTCGAAAGGTTTGAAGGTGGTATCGGTTCGGAAATACCGCAAACGATAACTGACGATGGGAAGATGAAATTGGAAAAAGAGCAGCAAGGTGACGTGAATGATGTAATAAGAAACTTGTAATGACCCTAAGCTCTAATAACTAGACTATTTCCCGAAGTCAGACTCCGTACATGTCCAACCTAATAGAAGACTCAGATATACAACAATCATTTTATTAAAAAAGAAATGTTTTTTTTACATTTAAATGAAAATTATTCATATTAGATGTTGTTAGACTAAATATTCAACTTCTACTTCGTAAAACATCTCAAACGAAATGTGGGGATTAGGGAGAATAACTTCGCAAAAAAATTTTACTGCATATAGGACTCATTATAGTATTATAGTATTATACTCGTAGACAACAATAAACATAAGGTAGGTTTCATTTTGACAGTCGCATGAGACTTGATACTTGAGAGCATTCATAGAGGTCTTATTGAAATATCTTACGCACGAGATATAGGGATAATAGGATAAGGAATTCTTTAGTTCAGTTTATTGTATTAAGCGCTTATTTTAATAATCATATGAATTCATTGTGATAATTGTATGAGAGTCGTTGGATTGATGAAATTCCTATATGTCTTATCTGAAAGTACTTTAGTTAAGGTACCAAGTTTAACTTGTTAGAATAGGAGAAGCTAATGAAATCGTAAGAGACTAGGTTAAGTCTCACAGCCGCTATAACGTGTGGAAATGATACCATGGAGAGCACTAAATACCGGCGTTAACCAATTCTTATATTACGTTTCTCCTAGTAAGCGAGGCTATAGAACGACTGCACGGATGGCGTAGAGGTTTAAGCGGTCGCCACGCGGCCACTACTAAGCTGACTGTTGTGGTTCCGATCCCCAGATGGGACGACACTTTGTGTGATCAACAAATTGTTGTTCAACAAATGTTTATAAAGTCCCCGGCGACACAGGATATATTCCTAATGCGGAAGTTGTTTTTTAAAAAAAAGAAAAGATAGAAGCTCAAACCCCCTCTCCCCTCCCCCAGATTCTGGGAGGGACTCAAAGGGTGGAAGCGCACTTGTTACTCTTAAAGAGCAGGGGTCCATGGGTGACATTAGTCACTTACTATCAGGTGATCTGTCTGCTCGTTTGACCCCTCTATACGCCTATATCAAAAAGTACCAAATCCTATTGAAATCGAATAAAAAAGTTTTACAATGAGTATCAATTTGTATTCACACGATTTTCTTTATATCATCATTAAAGGATTGTTATATTATTACAATATCTGCGTGATACAATATGGTTAAACCTATACTCTACACTATCGGTACTCATCAAAATGGATTCCAATGAAATAAAGGATATTATCGTACAACGTTCACCAATAACGGTATTTGAAGCTCGTTCAAACCGTTCCATTTCCAGGTATAATTTATACCAAAGGCTATTGTATGGCTATTGTATGGTTTTCTACTTTAAAATAAACCAATATGGACCCGGAGTATCGAGGTTCATATTACACAGATTGAATTTCCTAGAAATGAAGTTAAACTTTGGTATTGGACTAGCGCTTTTCCGTATTGCGCTAGGTCCCGCCTACATATCGGTTACCATGTCAAGTGAAGACTTCTGGGGACGATTGGCTAAGGTTTTATCATTTTGGCATAATGGTAATATAAAATAATAGATTGTGTCCCGATCATATATAAAAGTACTTATTTAAATAGCCACCTTTCCAAATATTTTTTTGGAATATAGTTGTTATTTTCTTAGACAGGTGTTTATTTTTATGTTGAAACTAGCTAAATGACATCCCTGAGGTGTGTTTCAGTGGTGTCTTTTACAATACACCCACTAAATAATCGAGAAGTGTGTTTAAAATTCTGAAGCATTTATATTGTAAAGAATGTTTTCCTATAATATAGAGTAATATATTATAAGAGCAGACTCTTTTTAAGCAAGCATTTACAGTAAATTTAATAACACAGCTTATACGACTACATAAAAGTGTTACCTTTAATGTAGAAAAACCCCATAATATATTTTATAGTAATACGCCTACTACTAACACCAAAAAAAATGTACTATATAAAATGTGACTTAATTTACTTACAAACCAGCAGCCCAATGTAAGAACTTGTGCAGTCCTTGTTCTAGCTCTTTAATCTGGAACCAGTTCGTATGAAATGGCATCATGTACGGCGCTCGGTTTTGTTCGTAGTATCTGCTAAAGTCCTCTTGAAGCCATTGTAGCACCTTAGGAATGAAAAAATGGTAGTAAAACAAACCAGTAACAAAAAAGTAACAAAGTTTAAGGAATAAGTGCAAGAATAATAACACAAAAATATAAAGTGGTTTTAATCTCACAATATGTACAAAATACGGACCACAAACCGGCGAACTAGATAATAAGGCTAAAACTACTAGCTCATAAAAACCGTATACAAATTAAATATTATGGTGGTTTATACCTGTATAACCGGGTTTAAATATGCTATTAAAACGGGAGATAAAGTAAATGGTACCTACTTGTACTCGTACGTGAATATTAGAAATTATTACGTAAGCCGGTTCGCGGTCTACTTATCATTGAAACTATCTGTACAGGGTATACTGGCTTACCTAGATTTGATAAAATGTATATTTATTGTTGTCGTAATTTTAACATTGGTGGCAATTTAAATAAAGTTACAGTAAAGAGTATTACTCAATGGTAAGTGGTTGTTGAATACCTAAAACTTTTAGTAGTCTTTCACTTTTCATAAACTAAGAAAACATTTAATTTAAATTTAAAGTTGGCTTTATATCCACACTTCATACAAAATCTAAAAGAATTACTGGTGTATAAAAATTAACTGCTGGTCCACATTCGAACTCTAGGTGAACTACCAACTAGAACAAACCAGAAGGGTTTAAAAATTATATCTAAGTTTATAAAGAAGTGTACAAGTCTTCGACATTCAAAAAATATAGGATAATAAGAGCAAAAAAAAAGTAATTATATTTTCGTCACCACTTTTTTCAATTTCTACATACTACGAGTGTTAAAATTTAAACTTAAACCTTCATTGCTGTTTTACTATAATGCTAGCACTTCGCAAACGGTGGTAACTGGTATTGTATTTTTCATATCAAAATTTAGAGTATAAAAGTCAGTAATCGCATTCATTTTTTTCTATACAGAAGCTATAAAATTCCTCTGCTATACAACTGAGGAATAATTAATTTTTTTGTTTAATAATTATTCTTACAGTTTAAAAAGAAGGTGTACCTTTTACATAAATTTCCATCTAATATAACGTGAATTTGTTACATAATATTCTTATGTAGAATTTACTTTCGATTTCGGTCTCTGGGCCTTTATGAACGTGTTCTATTATGTAATTTAAAATATTGTTTACTGTCTTGATTCCAAAACTATGTAGGCACGCAAATAAAGTCACGTAAAACGGTACAAGACAATAACTTTATAAATATAAATAAAACATGGATGCATTTTTGACCCTTCTCTTTTTTACTTCTTTTACAGATAAAAGGTACGAGTATAGAAAACTTTTATTGTGAGTTAATGCGTATGTAAAATATGCAATAGTAGCAATGCAAAAGGAGTTCGAAATGAAATCAGTATTTGGAATGGAAATTCCTTTCTTAGTAAAAGAATACGCTTTACTATTTTAAAATGATAGAAGAGAATAAGGTCTAAATACCTTGTTCTCGACTTTGAACAAATTCAAACACACGTTATTTAATATTCAACTACTAGGGAAAAGATCATGTCTTTTTTAAGCACAGCTTTAGCATTTTTTTCTGAGTGTATATTAAGGTTCCAAAAGAATTATCCCTAATTCATCAATAATAAATATCATAGTTTTGAAATCATATTTCCTTTAGCAACTGAACGTGACAGCTACGTAGAACCTAAAGTAAATAATTGTTTTAATCCAAACATTTTCTTCGCAAAGGATTCGTCCTTCGTAAAGGATTATTTGTAAGTAAAATGAATGAAACCATTCCAGGTCTTTTTGACCCTGCAATGTCCAGGTTTAGTAATAACTTAAATTTTCATTTTAGTTTAAAATTGCTATTTACTCTTTGTATTGGAAATTCTTAAAAGGCGTAACTTATAATATTAAAATGTTGGTGTAGAAACACAGCAATGAAATGGTTTTACAGAGGAAATAATCATTAATAGTCGCCTTTTCAGTACGGTAATCAATACTAATACTCTTGATTTGACCTTTTATATGAAGTTTAATTTTTGGCCTATCGTAATATTCTGATCTGGCTGTTGTAGACCTTACTACAATATCCAGATCAGAAAGTAATAGAAAAAGTATGAGCTTTAGTTGTGTTCTTACCACCGAAAAAAGTGTTAGTGGATTATACCAATATTACAGAATTGAAAAAGGATACTATTTTCAATCTTATATATTTATTCTTACTCAAGGCAAGATATATAAATGTTTAATTAAATATCTGATATATCTCTGAAAATTGTAAGTATCTTACATTGTAGTTTAATAAAATTATTCATGTTTAGGTAATAAAAGTTGCCCTTCTAGGTTCTTCTTTTTATTTGTTGCATGAAGCAAAATTATATTGCCTCTTAAATTTACACTTTTTATTTTTACTACATTTAAGAATAAACTTACGCTTGTTTTTTAAATTTTGAAGTTATATTTTTAAATATGATTTGCGACCAGGAACAATATTTCTGACAAATGGTAGACGAAAAGCGGCAAATATTGTTTTTGTTAATTATTATAATTTATCAACGAAATAAAACTTGTTTGTTTATTGAATATTAGTTATTAATAAAGTAAATTTTCATACAGAAAAAAAAACCCAAGAATGACACTACATATCATATTTCAAGGATATTTAATAAGTATTCAAAAATATAACCACAACTTTCTGTAACAGCTTTAAAACTCTGACTTTTCATAACCTGTTTACAATTTACAGATCCCAAGATTATGTTTAAACAATTCCGGAATCCTGGGATTCGTGAAAAAGCTGGGGTCGAATCCCCTTTTCATAATACGTTTCTCTCAGTCTTAAGTTTTGTAATATTTTGATCATAGTATTAGCCAAAGATAAACAAGTAAAATAAATAAGATTTTTTTTATCTCTCACTCATTTAGAAGTTTTGATGTCGTTATTTTTTATAAACAATTAAATTTCACATTGGGGACCAAATATGTAAAAACCGCTACAAAACTGGCGGAGTTGGGATTTCCGGTCATCGATTTCTCGAATCTCGGGGCATCGACCCAACTCCTGCGCCTCCTTGCGCCACTGATACAGTGCCGCAAGGGCTCTCGCCTCCAGGTCCCACGGTGGAGTTCCGGCCAGGAGACTCGCTGCCTCAAAGGAGATCGTGCGGTACCCCCTTATGATCCTGATGGCCAGCATTCGCTGCGGTCGTCGCAGTATCGCGACGTTGCTGGCCTTCAGGGCCCCCGCCCATACCGGGCATCACTTGACACCCCTGAGATATGACTTCACCTTTTGGTAATACCACCAGTCTTACAAGTGTGTAATTTTCTTAATTTTCATAAAACTACATAGTTTATTAGCACTTATTGGGGTAAATATCAAATTCTAGGTTTTTAAATAAACAAGAAGCTACTGAACAATTTCAGTTAGTCCCCTTTTCGTTATTAGAGACTTACATCATTGGCGTCGTGATTGTGTAGGACGCACTGATCGAGATAAGGACAATGTCCGCCCTCGTAGGTTTCCACGTAGTGAGCGTTGAAAGGCACCTCCCACAAACCTATTAATAAGAAAACAATTTCTTTTTTAAACTCTTTTTTCCTAAAATACTAATACTAAAATATGACAATGGGTTTTAACATTTTGCTGAAGCTAAGGTAGATGTCATTTTAACCTATAAGTGGACCATTCAATTCACCATAAATGAATGTCTATTTACTAAAGATAGTGCATTTGTATGTCAAATCATGGCATTAGAACCGTCTTCATCTTTGTAATTAATGATTCTGATTAGTTTCATAGCAGTAGATATGATCAAGATTAAATCTGCTTCTAAGGCAGCAATCGGATAAGTTAGTTTAGATAAAATTAGATCAGAATATGATTACTATTTTTTATTAAGGAGTCTTACTCTCTTACTCTCTCTCTCTCTTACGGTCTTACTTAGTTTTGAAATGCCAATCTTAAATAAATAAAAATACCATCATCTCAGCCGAAAGACGTCCACTGCTGGACATCGACCTTCGCCAAGGCTTTTCTCAACAATCGGTCCTGTGGTGCCCGCATCCAACTGCTTCTCGCGACCTTCGTCGTCAGGTAGTCGGACCACTTTGTGTGGGGCTTACCTACGCTCCGTCTTCCGGTACGTGTTCGCCACTCCAGAGCTTTTTAATATGCTAACATATTTATTAAAAAAAACCAAACAGGTAACATATTATTATGACAACAATGCATCCTTTTTATTGACATATTTATAACTGACCTGGGAAGGATTTCGTGGGACAAGTTCCGGCCTTGCATTCGTGAGCGATCTTGTAGTCGAGCGTGTAAGGCCACACCGGGATCGGCAACGGTGGCACGCCCACCGAACTGTCGTAGATGTAGCCAAAGTCTTCCAACACCTGCCGAATTATGTTACAGATAATGACAAAGCCTGTTCAAATACTAGGAATGATGTTACTGAAGACATTGACTGTGTTTAAGAGTTAAATACTTGAACACTCGGTTATAAGAGGTATTTCGGTCCCTACAATTCACCTACAGTGATGTGTTAGAAGCGCATTTAAGAAAGTCTTACATTTCAGTGACAATCTTACCTACTTATGATGCCCTACACTTTTGTGTGTCTGATGGAGTATATAACATGTCATTTAAACATTTTATGACTTGCGTAGTTAATTTCTTTTACAAACATGACATATCTATATACATAGATATTTCATCGTATTAGGGATACCCCTAATACGATGAAATACGTCACCGACTTGAAATACAAACTTAACTTTACCGTTCGCAACGTAACGCGTCAACGCGTCGCGTCAAGGGTTATTACGATCCAAATGATCAACCGCCAAAGCGGAAACGAATGAGGATATTACAGTTATGAATAAAAAAAAAATATTTTATTAGACTGAGAGCTAGTAGATTTCAATTCAAATTACTTAATTCTTTCAACGATTAGGTTAGTGCTGATGATCTTCGAACGACTAACAGATTTTTAACTTTTCATACAAAATAAACTAAATTAAAATCTGTCCATCCGTTAGTATTGAAGGTGACATATTAGAGCCCAGCAACTCTTGTCATTTTGTCTCTGTATAAAATACCTCAGAGTTTACGGAAGTGAATTACAAATTAAAACTCGATAACCTTGAGTTATTCAGTAACGGGATAGTTGGAAGTCAGTCTGTAATATAAATTAGCGGAGGTTCTTACACCCAATCAACTTTTACGGTGTGCGTTACCCCAGCAAAATAATGTCGAAAATGGTCATTTAAACGTTATAGATAATTAGTTGCTCCCCTTCTGTAATTGTTAGGCACATTTTTAAATTTGTTTCTCTTAAACTTTTTTAGTTATTTCAAAAAAACATTTCCTGCTGGGGTAACGTTTGAAACGTTACCGCAGCCAGACATTTTCTTTTTTAATTGTAATATTGAAATAAATTTTAGCTAGATAATTAGTTATCTGGACTAGGTAAATGTTACAACTTATTTGGTATTTGTATTTTCTTCGGCTGCGAAGTTATTCGAAATCCTGCTGGAGTAACGTTTGTGGGTTTGCTGGATCTCTGAAACGGGTAAGCGGATTGTAACCATCTTTTGTACATAACTTCTTAAGGATTAGTTTTAATTTGTTCGACAATAAAATAACAAAAATAATGGACCGTTTAAAAATTATTTAGGTAAGTATGAAAACACTTCAATACGTCCTAACACTTTAAATAAGACCTCTAAAGACTTACTTCAAACGTTATTCTATTGCTTGTAACTACCTTCAAATGTATACGAATTTTCGTAAGAATACTATAAGTGACTAAAAAGTTATGATGAAATGTAGCTCTCCACGTTCACGATCACAATGTGTGCGGCCTTTTTTGGCCACCGATAAACCTGTGTGTGGATATATAAACTGAATGTTATGCCAATAATTAGTTGTTTAGTTCAGTTGTCTACCTGTAAAATTTCAGCGTAGTACATATAATAATTTACGAGATAATTAAATAAAAGTCATTAGAAGGTGCAAGACCGTGGTAACCCGACCATGTTTAGGTTGTTACAAAAAAGCGATCACCCAGTACATTGTGCTGGCTTTTAAAATATGTAGGATATTATTTGCAAGTTTACTACGGATATGTACATAAGTGTTACAAAAAACTACATGTTTTTAAATAATTTTTATTTAGAATTGTTTATTGCATGATTAGTAATCAGCCGGGAGATTAGGTATTGTTTTGAATGCTTTTGTTTTCTCGTAATGTTAAGGTGAATTGTTTATAGTTGTTCATAGAATTGGTACCTGCGTAGTATTTGTTAATTGAAGTTTAATTTAAGGGTAGGTATAGGTAATTTAAGTTTTGAAGAGTGTAACGTATGCGTTGTAAATAGGTATTTTGTGAATAGATGGGGATTTTTTTAAGTGATGAATTGACTTAGGCTAGCATATCGCGAACAAACTCTGTATTGCAATATTTCTGTAATAATGTTGGAGAAAATAAAATATTTGATCACAAAATCGCGGTGAGTTAAATTATAATAAAATAAATTATTTATATAAAATTAGTAATAAGTGATATACCTACCTACAAGTTATGATCGTTTTTAATTGGTTCACCCTTTTTTTTTCCGTGCGGAAATCCCCTCGGATACCACCTTTCGGTGGCATGTCGGACTCGAACCGACTAAAACCGCACGCCGTCTCGGGTACTAATAGCCGGGGAACCAGGTATACCCTAGAAAGGAAGTCCCTGGTACTAATTGGTTCACCCTGAACAAAATTTCAATATTAGCATTAGTAATTAATATCCTAAGACAAGAATTGACAATTACTTAAATTGAATCGAATTAGCATTAATGCCCATTATTAGTAATTAGGTACACACATATTGAAGAACTCTCAAGAATACGATAAATATTTGCAAAAATAGAAAGCGAAAGCGCACACGTACTTTACAACACGTATATTATCTGCCTAAGGGTCAAGTTTAGTGCACTAGATGCAAATTGCAAACAATGAAGTATCCCTTCGCCCCTCCCCTCCCGCGTTCTAGCGAAGGATGTATTATCAGCGATTCTTGATTGACAAATATTATCTGACCAATAATTTTATCTATAAAAATGTATCACTTTCACTCGATAAATTAAATTACCGTTATTATATCAAAATATCATTCAACAACTGTTCGTTTTTAACAGAAATCAACAGTCACGGGCTCAACGCTTAACGGTAGGTACATAGGTATAGATAATTCTCGGTTCTCGGTATAGACTACAGAACAATATTACCTACTCTTACGAGGTATACGACTGTTGGGCGATGCAATGTTGATGCATTCTAATTTACAACTGTATTCTTCTACTATTCGGTCTATTTTAACTTATTGTAGATGACTTGTTGCTTTGAATATTTGGATGCATTCAAGTCTAAGCTCTATACACCCAAAATAAAATACAATTACTTTAGTGTTATTTCTTTACAAAAAAAAATCAAAGAAATGAAACGATTTCTTATTGGTTTAAATTTTCGATTTATTGCAGTAAGGTGAATCGTTCATACATGTATCTACATATTTATAATTTTAGCGGACCAGTGCAGATTTTCTGTTGATTGTAGCTCCGGTAGTAAAAAAGACTAAAGAAATTTTAAGTAAAGAAACTAGTGCTTAAGATCAATTGGGGAAAAACACAAAATAAATAATAGGTAATAATAATGAATAAATATTGAATGTATTTAACACTGTACGCAACTGTACCGAAATCGTAAGGTGTATTACACTAAACATTTTAAAAGACAGCCCAATAGACTGGGTGATCGCTTTTTTGTAACCACCTAAACATGGTCGGATTACCACGGACTTGCACCTTCTAATGACTTTTATTTAATTATATCGTAAATTATTATATGTACGACGCTGAAATTCTACAGGTAGACAACTGAACTAAACAACTAATTATTGGCATAACATTCAGTTTATATATCCCACACACAGGTTTATCGGTGGCCAAAAAAGGCCGCACACATTGTGATGGTGAACGTGGAGAGCTACATTTCATCATAACTTTTTAGTCACTTATAGTATTCTTACGAAAATTTGTATACATTTGAAGGTAGTTACAAGCAAAGGAATAACGTTTGAAGTAAGTCTTTAGAGGTCTTATTTAAAGTGTTAGGACGTATTGAAGTGTTTTCATACTTACCTAAATAATTTTTAAACGGTCCATTATTTTTGTTATTTTATTGTCGAACAAATTAAAACTAATCCTTAAGAAGTTATGTACAAAAGATGGTTACAATCCGCTTACCCGTTTCAGAGATCCAGCAAACCCACAAACGTTACTCCAGCAGGATTTCGAATAACTTCGCAGCCGAAGAAAATACAAATACCAAATAAGTTGTAACATTTACCTAGTCCAGATAACTAATTATCTAGCTAAAATTTATTTCAATATTACAATTAAAAAAGAAAATGTCTGGCTGCGGTAACGTTTCAAACGTTACCCCAGCAGGAAATGTTTTTTTGAAATAACTAAAAAAGTTTAAGAGAAACAAATTTAAAAATGTGCCTAACAATTACAGAAGGGGAGCAACTAATTATCTATAACGTTTAAATGACCATTTTCGAGATTATTTTGCTGGGGTAACGCACACACTTTTACGGCTGATATAAAATAATAACCCACTGAGTGTTCTTTTAATTATTACAGATTAGTGAGGAAGCGATTGTTCTTTTTTAACGGAATCATTTAACATTTTCAAACTTACACAATAGTTTAACAATTAATAACTTGTATTTTACAAAAGATAGCATGCTTCCTACCATCTATATGTATATAAATATTCACGTGTGTTGACAACACAAATCAATATACCCTAACCTCTACCTACTCTCATCATCTACAAATAAATATCACCCTTCAAGAATTTGCATGTGTTACACTTTGTTTGTATGCACTTTGTTTTATTACAGAGCATTAAAGATTTTTACAGCATTACTGAAGCATAATACAGTAACCGATTATTTTAACTGCCTATGTGTTAGGTTTACCACTTTGTTAGTCTAAAAGACATGCATTTTGTAATTTAGGACTCTACTCTCATTCCCGACACAAAAACGTAAATAATTAAACAGCGAGTATCGAGTTGGGCGCTATATTTATTCTTCGTGTAATTTACTCGATGTTCCATATAGTCATCTCGCAACAAATCCACATACAAAGTGTACTTCAATCCGTTTTATTTAGATACGTATACGATCGGTACCTATCAAAACGTCAATACACAACGTACCGGCAGCCTTGTTTGACAACTGACATACGTCCCCCCTGACTACACAGTGCTACGCATTGCAAAAAAAAACTCCACCCATTTCACTTTGTATTGCGTCACAGTGACGCCGGTAATTGTCAGGTAACGAAGAGAGGTGCTGTTGAAATATTGATGCAGAATGTCTACGTGGTATCGAACGACCAACAAAATATGCCGATAATAAGACTGTCATGCTTATTTATTATTCCAGTTGTATAGTTTTTGTAGGGCGTATCTTCTATTCGAAGAGATATATGCGTGTGTATGTCATATGTGTATGTATGTCATATTTACTTGACTGGGAAATTTCCTTACTATTATTTAACTGTATTAGAACATAAGTAGTAACAAGTAGAAATAAGAACTGAATAAACGTGTGTTACTTTTCGGCTTTATGTCTCTCAGTGACTTCTTATAGATAGATTTTGTACGGATTGACACCATATATCCTCAGGCGTAGTTTTTAAGAATAAAGTTAATTGTAAAAATAATCTTACACGCATATATTTATTACGTTCAACTGAATAATAAAAATAACTTTAACACCTACACCCAGATAAGCTTCAGTCGCTATTTGTATATTTGTAAGTGCCCTATTGGTTCAAGTTAAGAATGCCATAGTCTGACATCTTTTATCTCAAGTGATTTATTTATTAAAATCCGCGCAGTATATTAAACTCTAGAAATCGAGTTTCCTGATGCTCCCTGATGATTGTAAAAAGTTATAAGATGTGTTTATGATCACAAAATGGCGTATGGTAATATAAACTTGTTACGATTACGTAAACTATTGTATGTAAAGTAGCCAATTTGTGTAGTATCTGGTAACTATAAAGTTTCTTGTCTGCTGCGTTGTTAAGAAAAGTATTGTTTTTTTATTGTTAGCAAACACTTTTAACAACTTTATTGGTTAAGGAATCAATACCATTCCAAAAACTGTTTACTTTTTGCTAATGTACACCGTACAATTTATATGCCACAGTGAATACAAATTGTTGGTGACAAATTGCTTTTAATTTTTTTAAATAATTCACTATATTTGTATAAAATTAAATAGTATAAAAATATTCCTTAGGTACAATAATGAAAGGGCCCTTGAGACATAATAATTGTACCTTTTATTTAATCAAAAGTCAATATAACAACCTAAAACAATTAATTATGTACCTGGAGACTGCATATAATTATGTAGTAGGAACTGTATTCCGCACACGTGACACATTGCGCGTCACTTCCTGTTACTGCATGTCAGTTACCGACGAAACATTGAACCATTCATTTTGTTTTATACAAAAAGTGGACTTTAAGACTAGCTCAAAAGTAAAGGGTGTCTCAGTAAGAGTGCAGTTTTTAAATTTACAACCATTTCATTTTTCGTGGAATTGGCAACTTTGAAATTTGACAGCTGTCACCCATGTTTATTTCGATTATTAAAAATGAAGCGCTTTTCCAAAGTACAACGCGTTATAATTCTGGAAACTCATTAAAAAAATGGAGAAAGTTATATCTAAGCTGAATCTGCTCGCAAACTTCGCCAAATTTTCAGTCGAGAAAAAGCACCTAATGTGTCAACCATTCGAAGAGTGGTCAAAAAATTTGAAGAAACTGGGTCGATTATGGGTATTAAGACTTCTTTCAACTTTCTTCTTTCTTCTTTCTCAACGTACCGGTCGCTCTCTTGCAAACATTGCTATTGTAAACGAGACTGTCGCAGAAAACTCGAAAACATCAATTCGGCATCGTTCTCAACAACTTCAAATTTCACGAAACACTACACAGCGAATTTTGACAAAAGACCTCCACCTTCATGCGTACAAGATTCAGCTAACTCAGGAGCTCAAACCAGCAGGCCATAGAAAGGGCTAGCAATTCGTTCAGTGGGTAATGGAGCAAAGTGAATTTTTCCATTGATGCCAATTTTTCGAAAAAAGTCATCTTCTCCGATGAAGCGCATTTGCATCTGAATGGCTACGTGAACACACAAAATTGTTGAATTTGGGGCTCAAAAAATTCTTATGAAATCCATGAGAAACAAATGCATCCACAAGGAGCAAACTGTCTAGTGTGGATTTTGGTCAGGCGGCGTGGACCTTACTTTTTTGAAGATGACGCCGAAATTACAGTGACTGTGAACAGCATTCGTTACAGGAATATGATAACGGAGTTCTTGTGGCCTCAACTGGACGGTATGGATCTGGACAATATGTGGTTGCAGCAGGATGGCGCTACCTGCCACAACGCGAATGAAACAATCGACTTATTGCAACAACGATTTCCAGAATCAGTATCTCACGAAATTCAACTGGCCACCTAAATCATGCGATTTAACGCCTTGCGATGTTTTTCTTTGGGATTTTGTGAAATCTCGTGTTTGTGCGAATAAATTCCTGAGCTGAAATCAGAGATCCAATGCGTCATCGGTGAGATACAGCCACATCTCTGTATAAAAGTCATGGAAAATTTCATGAAAAGGGTAATGGCCTGTCATTAGAGCTATCAGAGCCAAGTATGGAATAAAATATCCGACCAATGGGGGGTTTTTTTTTATTATTTTATTTAATACTTAATTGGAACATGTCTTCTTTACGATCCTATAAAAATGTCACAAGTCTTTCATAAAATACGTGTTTTTATTTTGAAATGAAAAAGTGCTCTCTTACTGAGAAACGCTTTTTAAGCACAAAGAAGAGCTTAGCATGGAAAATTTCTCCAATAGATGGAGCGAAGAGTTCATCAAGTCTGTGTAAAATGAATGAATGTATCTTTAGGAAGCGACCTAATTCTAAGTAGACGACCAATCGATGAGTTAAGAGTAGTGTTCTACTTTCAGAAAAATCGATCCCTTAAACACTTCTACTTTAGAACACATAAAAAGCCCACTTACAAGTTATGAGTGTTTAAACTAAATATTTGACTCGTGGATAATACATGCAGTCAAACTGAAGATAATTATTGTAAAATGCATGTTTTAAATGTAATGGTTAATAGCCAATAGCCGATTATTGAATCTTCAGATAACTTCTACAAAAATTGTTATTCATATTCATATTTTATTTCATACCCAAAAGGAAGAAAAGAATGCATCCGGGTAAACAGTATATTTCTTTGTCAGGAAGATCATTTAATGAATGTTGAGAATCAAGTGTACGTAAATTTCTCAAGGTGCAATTTAAAATGTAAAACGTAACGTGTAAAAAATCTTGTTCCTCTTGTATTGCATTTTAGTCTTAATAGCCAGGTCCGGTTTTTCTAATATAACATTTAAACAAATGCTTTAGACGGACTCTTTACTGTACATATTATTATGTCCTATTGAATGAGATCGAGATTGTTATAATTGTTAATGTAGTAGGTATTATTTATTACAATACATATTTTTATCAAAGAATGGCTACACTAGTAGTGGCTATACGAGTATTAGGTACAAAACTTGTTTAATTCTAGTTGTGTGTCATAAATAAAAGTTGAATTGATAGATTTGATTCGATTAGGTGTTTTACAAAAGTTACAAAGGAGTTTTCTTTTTGTTTAATCGTATGTTAATAGAGGCACTTAAGTTTTGTAATCAAACAAAGTTTATTAGCATATTACTAACGGATGGTCTTTGTTGACAGATGACATTCTTATTACTTACAAGGACAAAATACAGAAAAAAATGATAATTAATTTATTTTGTTGAATATTATATTGGTTTTAGGAGAATAAAGCGGATTTAACAACGAGTATGTTTATAATATTTGAGAGTAAATTCGTTGTTCTTTTTCACTGCACTTTTTATAGACCAAATTTTTTTTTAATTGTGTGCAAATCCTACCTTGAATTGAGTATTTCTTCCTGGTTTCAAGAACGGTGCCCTAGTGCCGGTGATCTCGGAGCGAGAAATGTTTGCAAACTTACGAAGAATTTCGCGCATACCGATCATTTCACCCACCCATTCTTCGTAACCTTTGTCTTGAAGACCTTGCTGCTGTGATACCGTGCCCGTCGCTATCTGTAAGATAATTGTTGTGTTAAAGACATCATTTTGAGAAAAAGTGCCGTTGATTTGGAGGATACTCATATAGAATTAGTGTAAGACAAGTAACGTTTTTTTCAACAAAACCTACCGTATGATATAACCGCATACAATTAAATTTATAAAAATCTTTTGAGAATGTATTTAAATAAGCTCATACTAATTTATATATTTTGTTTTCATATTCTATGTTGTACACCAAAAAACTAGCGGACTAATATTTCTTTACATTTACGTACCAATAGAACGCCCTAGGTAGAAACCAGACCTTTTATCACGTTACACAAAAAAGTAAAACCTTAGTCTAAAAATATATAGAATGCTTTAAAAATTGAATTAAGATGAAAACTTAACATTGAAGTGTTTAAGTTCTAGGTCAAGGATATACTATTTGTACAATATTTAAACTTATTCACTAATTCTTTTGTAAATGACTACATTTGTATGCAACAAATACATTGGCCAACAGCTAGACAGGAGACAACACGTCGTAGGTATATGAACATGACAGTTAGCCTCCAAATGATCACAAACACGATTCTTTTTTAAGGTCATTATGTAGCATCTGAGATTTGTAATTTTAACGCATGATTTCTACCGCTTCTCCTGGCTAAGGTTATAATGCTAAAGTGAATTTATTTGTTTGTTTACCCTTTCAACAAATCACCATAAAATTTTACATTCACTTTATTAGGTGTAATGAAAAACATATCAATAAGATAATTATGTGAGGTAAAACATTGGTAACGTGACATCGTTAAATGCAACAATCTCGCTTTTAAATTTTTTACGATTATTTCTCTGTGTTGAACGTTAAATAGAAGAAATAGAAGTGGAAAATCGATCGAGGTGGCGTGTGCAGTGGACTGCGATAGGCTGATGATGATGATAAAACGTGAAATTAATTGGGGGAAATAGATAATTATTTAACAATAAAGAGAGTTATATACATTAATAATCTAGTTCAGTCCAGTTATGTGGGTCAATTATATTATTTAGCATTCATTAAAGAATTCAGTAAAGTATCTGAAAAACCTGTATTTGACTAAAAAATCCATTTGTAAGAGTAGATAGAAGTTTACGTAAAATATAGAAGTCCAATATGATGATATTTCTATGATGAAAAAAGTTATGATGAGTACCTATTTAATAACAATTACGACGAGGGTATAGCTGTTTTGCGAATGAAACAAAAAATATTAATGTTGTCTATTAAAACAGAAAAAAAGGCACTTGATTATTAAGACTAAAAAAAATAGGATCTCTAACGTTTTTAAAACTTCGTAGTCCAAACAATGATGCCTTATACTTCCGCCATCTTTGTCTGTCTGTAGACTCTCTACATTATCGGCATATGCGGCCCATCGGCCCGCAGCTTAATGTAGTATTATTGCTAGAAAGCTCAATTTTAATAATTCTGTTTAAAGTAATCCCCGAGAAAGTGGTAAAATAAAATCTTGAAAAAAAAGATCAGGGTTCGTCCTCTACTCAGAAAGTAAAGAGCTAACTGAGCTTAAGATACGATTTATCGGGACTCAATCCGTTCTACCTTAATCCCTTGAGATCTATAGACTATACACTAAACCTTTTTTTTAATTTGTTACTTTCATTCTTACCTCATGACCATAGTGAGCAAGAGCCTGCACCTGTGCGTAGTTACTGTAAGAAAAAAATGTTAAAGTTTATTAAGTTCATGCTATTAAACAATTATAAAATAGCGTTTTCCTAAACAACTTTCACCGCAAACATTATTCAGCGTGAATGTAACACGATTAGACATACAATATCTTGTTTCCTTAATTGAAAATTTCAAAAAATGTAATTGCTTTGTTTAATCAGACCAGAAAGTTTCGACCATAATTCATAAGCTATTAAATGTTTTGTACGCGATCATTAAACAGTAAAACTTTACCTGTCACTTTGTTTTACGTATAACAACAGATCAACATATACAGGAACATAAAGGAAATTCTTCGCATATTTATATATAGAAGAAAAACATGTAAAAGTAATTGGCAGCGCGTGGCTTTCTCAAAGGCTCAGGCCATTACTTCACCATAATCAGGTTAAAGACGTTGTCATACAAAGTGTGCACATCATCATCACATCAACAGCCTTTGATAGTCCACTGCTGGACATAAGCCTGCCCTTAGAAAGGATGGCTTGGCCTACTATACCATGCTGGCCAGACGAGTTGGTTAAGGGTTTGTGAGAAGTTTTCCTTCTCATTGCAGTGCTGTTGTCTTGTTTAGTTTGCTCTCTTAGTCGGCATTTAAGACACTCACGGTATGAATAGGGGTGGTGACACTTCGTATTCTTAAACCGTCACCACACAGTTGGAATTCTTTATTTATAGCCTAACCATAGCGAGCCACTTGTTTGTGTAAATGTAAAATAAACAGCAATTGAAAACGATAACAAATTAATGAAAAATATTAAATTAAATTATTAAATTAAGGAATTTGACAGAATTGTGTAGGTATAAAGGAGAAAAATTCTACCAAAGTAAGAATGACGTTAAGTAAACCTACCTACGTGTTAGTACCACGATTACACTTTTGAATCCATATTTCAAAAGGAAGAACTAATTTAATCTCTCTTTTCATTTTTTCTCAAATTAAACAGAGGAAATACTTTATTTTGCTAGCTCCATTTAATTAACGTGCATTTCATACACCTTTTTATAAAATCGTAAAACCTAAAATATATCTACCTTAAAAATTAACCCTATCATTTCATAACGTAAATACATAAATACTGTGCCCCTTATTTAGTTTATGAGAGAGACACTTCAAATACACAATACGACCAGTAACATCCATACTTATATTATACATACATGTGAAAGTAAGTTTGTTTGTGTATTTGTTTGTTATGCTTTCATTCCTAAACTACTAAACCGATTTAAAAAATTCTTTCACAAATAGAAAGCTACATTATCATCGAGTAACATAAGCTACTTTTTACCTTGGTAGGCGACATACACGCGGGCGAGGCCGCAAGCAAAAGCTAGTCATTTATAATTATGTATTGAAGGAATTTCTGTAATATATAACATACGAGTACATACATACATATTATAGAACGCAATAGTTTAAATATTAGTATAGTAACATTATAAGGTGACACAATGACTGCTGATAAATCCAAACTCTTATCAATCATCATCGACGGACGCAGATATTTATCTCTCAGTAGCAAAATAAAATGATAAAACTGACAGCGAAACCTGTCTTTAATGGTGACCTTAAATCCGGCAACGTGTCATTATAACAGCATCGTATGCAATCGACTTAAACATTGACTAATTAGTATACAAAAATTCAACGTATCATTATAAAGTCTGTTCTGCTAACATAGTTTCTAAGACATTTTATGCGTTTTTAAATACATTCTTACATCCATACAAAACAGGTTAATGTTTCATCTATTGAAATAATATATTATGTAACTACATACTTATTTAATAAACTTACTTCGAGACTATTCTCGAATATACTACTGATAAAATATTTTTAACTGTATGTGTGTGTGTATTTTTATTGCGTGTTATTTTAAGAACTTAAATACTTACTCATACATATATAATACTGTCCGTGTAATACTGTAGTCCGGATTAAGAATACAAATTGTCACCACCCCAATTCATCCCGTGGGTGTCGTAAGAGCCGACTAAGGGAGCAAACTAAGCAGGACAACAGCACTGCAAAGAGAAGGAAAACTTGAAACAAACCCTATACCAACCCGTCTGGCCAGCGTGGTATAGTAGGCCAAAACCTCCTTTCTAAGGAGAGGCCTATGTCCAGCAATGGACTAGTATAGGCTGTTAATGATGATGATGATGATATAATACTGAGACACACATAATGCTAAGCGAGTTCTTACAAATCACGTAATATATTTGTTGTATTACAAATATATAATCACATTTACTGCTAGCGAAATTTATTTTGCTACAATATACACTAAAAACTAATTTTAAAATACGAGTACAATAGACGTTCTAAACTAAATTTATTTGTTGCGTTTATTACTTATTTATTGATATCATAAATGAGGGAATAACTGCACCTATTGGTTATCTATGTTTTCAATAACTAAACCTTTATTGCAAGTTTTAGAGGACACTAAAGACATAACCAACAGAAGAAACAGACCGTATTTAAATTTTGTTGTGAAACTACAAAAAAGTCGTCGACCTTATATAAAACTGAAGTTGTATAAATAAGTGTTTTTTTTGCGGATATTCAAATGATCTCCTGGGGATGAGACTAAAATAATGATTACCTGACCTAACAAGCTTTTATTTTAGAGATTATTTTTATAAACTTTATTTGTAGGTACAACTTATAAGTAGAGGAGGACAACGATTTTTATCAACTATAATTAATTTAGTCAAATTCACGTAATAACTTCGGACACAGATTAACCTAAAGTACGAGGCCTCTTTAAATTCCTAAAATTAAAATACAAATTCACAAAAAATACACATTATATTACCTGTATTCGTGTGAAAGGAAGAACGTCCCCCGTATAGGACAGCCGTTGGGATTCTTAAGTTTTCCATTAAATACCTTTTTGTAAAGTTCGTAGTTGTTCAAATTTACCGCTCCATCGAATGTCAACATTATCATCTGGGGCGTCTGTAATGTACAATTTTCAGTTATTTTTCAATGTCAGTCGTCTCATTTTGCAGTAAACGTTTTGTTATTCAAATACGTAATCAAGCGATTAAATTGAAAGTCTAATCGTTTAAGGGCCCAGTACACTTTGGCCCATGTTGGCCCACGGCAAGACATCGCCATTTAAACACGGTGCAATGGTATACATTGGCGGACGATTGGCTATCGTGGCGCGTAAACGGGTTGTTGTCGGTTTTTTGGGCACACTTTAACGAAATCGTGGCGTAGCCTGGCTTGTGGTATTTACACACTCGCCTATTATTTAGTTCGTCACCGACCGCTGACAGTATATCACACTTTTTAAAGTAGAAGTGAAGTAAATTAAAATATAACAATATAATATAAAAGTAGAAGGCATGTATTTGTTTAATATATTTAAAGTTACATCCATAAGGTCACATATAGTTCACATAATAACAATATGTCATAGGTTTAGATATTACTATATTATAGAATCGTGTATTACTGTGCCTAATATTAGATGTGCATAAGGTGGTTCATTGTTGTGTAAAAGAGCGCTTCTCGCTATCAAACGTAGAAGTTATACCTCTGTATAAATATTTTTAATTAATTAAATTATAATAAAAGGAAAATAGCCGAGACCGTCATTACTTGTACGCCCATCGCAAATGTTTGCACCCAGGCAACAATGAGCTATGTACCATTGTGAGAACACCTACGCGATGATAGCCTACAATTGCGCATTGCGAAGCATAGCTCAACAGCCAATGTGTACTGGAGCCTTCACATTTCATATTGTGTTTTAAAAGTGATACGTATGTACCTTTTTTTTTTTTTTTTTTTTTTTTTTTTTTTTTTCACGCGGGGAATGCTTTTCGCACCATACCCTCCGTTGGTTAAACGTAGGGCGTGTGTGGGACTCCCGGAGAACCGGTCTACCCACTAAACCCCGCGGCGGCCTACCTCGGCAGTCGGGAGGAGCTCCAGGAACGCATCGGCGACTTCTGGAGTCCTCCCTGCCGTACCTCAGTCTGAGGCACATCCCGGAGTGACCGTAGTCACCCTGGGGCAGGACGCTACCGCGCCTCTCACTGTTGATGTTGATACGTATGTACCTAGTCAGATTCAGTAACGATTGGCTTAGAAAGTTCACTGCGAGTGTAAAAATATAAAAATGTTGTCTTCACAAGCCGTTAGATAGGTTAAATAAGCTGGCAAGAAACACAATTTATCAAAGCCCAACGCGCTTTGAGTCTCGGTTCTACGAGATATTTTCATTCGACTTATTTTTTTAAAAGCGAGTTATTTTTAAAAATAAAACTTTTTTCTGGGAATTTATATATTATTATCATTGAATGCTACGTCCTACAACTAAATAAAAAAGTACCAGGAATAACCTCATGATTAGTTCTTAAAAAAATTATCCTACCTGCCTATAAGAATAATTTCAGATACACATTTATAGGTAATTGATAAGAAAAGATAAAATATCGATTTATATTAAGGATATATTAGGTCTTTACCTATGAAATCATCAATAAACTGCCAATGCGTTGGCAAAGATACATCGATTGCATGGATGATTACTTCGAATAACAGAAATAAAAAAGTTTGAAAAAATAAGTACTGTCACTTATTGCATTCAAAACAGCAATTTCATAGGTAAAGACCTATTATATTTTTTATAAGACAATATCATCATCACGTCACGTCATCCGAGTGCTTAAAAAGTGAACTAATAAAATACTTTCTAACATATGACAACGTTAAAATACATGTAGCTTTGTATTTAACTCACATCTTCTGGATCAAGACCACCTGGGATTAAAGTGCCATCCTTGGAACAAAAGCAGTATGGTAGCAGGCACTCGGCAAGATCGCATTTAGTGGCCAAGTCTAGTGGTGTCTCGGTCACAGGAGCAGGGGCTACGAAAAATTACATTTTTATTAAAGACTTAGAGAAATATTATACCTGAAGAAAAGTTGCATTACTACCTAACTAACTACTAAAATAAATCAATACGCTTTTCTCTTCTGTTTGTCAACCAATTTTTTTTTTACTGTTTTTTATTGATTTTGTCTGTTTAACTAAACTTAGGTAGTATTTATAGCTTTCATTAGTTTTGATAAATTAAAACCTTTCTTCTTGTAACAGTTTTACTATATAAGCCTTAAGTTTTAAAGATATAATTAAAAATAAAGAAACAACAAGTGTACGATTGCGTGACTATAACTTCCAAGATAAATATTTCATAAAATATTGATCTGTAGCTTATAATTCTTTTATCGACAGAAATTGTCAAATTTAGTCTTTAATTGACAAAAAGAATTAGATCTCTAACTTAAGTAGTTGCTGAGATCTTCGTGGCTGCGCAATCCTCCAAGTTACGTTCACGCAGAAAACTTAAAACCCTTGTAACTTCTTTATTTCTACTTTAAAAAAATATTGGTTTGTTCCCTTCGATTTTGACAAATTTCGCCAAATGTTTTCGAAGTTTTTTTCTGTTTCCACAACGTGGCGGAGGAATCGAAACTCACACAAGAAATACCACTGTATTATTCATTTTAACAGAAACTATTGCAGAGTAAGTGATTGAATTAGTTCATATTAATTCCTAATTTTTCTGCGTCGTTGGTTCGTTCCCGCAACCATTTAATCACAAGTCCGATCGCCACTTGTTATTAAAATAATGTGAGACCTTAAGCTATTAATTATAAATAATGTACTTACTAGTTGCAATGGGACCACATCTGGCTTCAGCTTTAAATGTGCAATACTTGTTAATGTCATCGAAGTATAAACTAGAGGGGCATCTATTTACGTACGGATACCCATCAACGCACTGAAAACAGAAGATGTCATTCACTTGATAAAATCTTTTTTTTGTAACTTTTATTAAAGTCGATAAACTAGATGCATATTTAAAAATGTAATAAACAGTACAAAACATGATTTTACATACCAGTATCACCATGAGGGTGATATGCTTAATTAATATTTTAAGGATATTCTGCAAACATCCCTGGCCAACCTGAAGATTCATTTATAACTAGGTTTTGCCCGCGTTAAACAAACAAACTCACTTTCACATTTATACCATACGTATAGAAGAGAAAGTTAGTTTCTTCATTTGTTTGTTAGGATTTTACGCCTAAATAACTAAACCTATATGAAAAATTCTTTAAAAAAAACTAGTTTCATAGTAGATAGAGAAGTGTAATGTTTCATCGTATTAAAAAGATTATCAGTTATTTTTATTATTTAGTTACATATTCACACTAATTAGACAGTGTTGACATGTCCGTAAAAGAGTTACATCTTGATTAGAATGCATGAGCAGATATATACTCATCACATCACATCACATCAACAGCCTATAATAGTCCACTGCTGGATATAGGCCTCTCCATAGAAAGGAGGTTTTGGCTTACTATACCACGCTGGCCAGACGGATTGGTATCGGGTTTGTGTCAAGTTTTCCTTCTCTTTGCAGTGCTGTTGTCCTACGTAGTTTGCTCCCTTAGTCGGCTCTTACGACACCCACGGGATGAATAGGGGTGGTGACATTCCGTATTCTTAATCCGTCACCACACGGACGGTATATATCAAATATAGTAGATATTAATATTGTTATTGGCCGCGGATCAAACATTTAGTCAGTCAGTAGTCGAAGATGCGATTGGTGGAACAATAACTAATTTAAAATTAAAGTCTCGCAAGTTCGAATATTAATCAAAATTAGTGCTTGTGTTATTTAACTGTATTCCAGTAGTAGTAGTAGTAGTAGAAGTGTAGTGTGTACAAAGCTAAGACATCACCCTGCACCAAAGGTGCTAACGATAGAGGATTGACAGAGGCATTCGGTCCCTGACCGTGTATTGCATTTACATACTAAACATTGCCCTTTACTATTAGTGTGCACTTTGACTAGAGAAGCATACAACGCTGTTAATTGCATAATACAATACTAGGAACAGGGCTAGGGCTTTAGCGGCTCGGTACCAAGGATTCCAATTATCTTAATCAATTGTTTCAATTGCTTTTTAACAGAAATTAAGATCAAGTCACATTAAATGTAACTTTGAAAAACAAAGGACCCGTTTGGCAGTTGTTTTCTATAAATATAACAGTAGGTAGAAAATTCCAAAATGAGTTTCGCAGGAATATTGAATGCATGTAATGACTGCACGGATGTCGTAGTAGTTTAAGCTGTCGCCACGCCGCTTTCTATTACGCCGAGTGTTGTGGGTTCAAACCCCACATGAGACAACACTTTGTGTGATCCACAAATTGTTGTTCTGAGTCTGGGTGTACTTTGTGTCCGTTTCATGTATGTTTGTAAAGTCCCCCGCGACACAGGAGTTATTCCTAGTGCGGGAGTTGTCTTTTTTTTTTAAATAAAAAAAAAATATAATATCTGGTGCCCCCTTAAGACAGTTACGGTATTTGAGGGGGCGCAATGACGCCGCCGGCTAAAAGCTTTGACAAAGTTAGAGACAAAGTTGCATGAGATTTTATTAGTAACTAATGCCCGCGGCTTCATTCGCGTGGCTATTTCATATTTCGTGTTTCAAACTCTGAAAATGACGCACTTCCATACAAGCGTTCATATTTTATTTTAACCCCTTAGGAGTGAAATTTGGGTGTTTACGTGATAAAAAGCATCAATAACTGCTAAAATTTCAAGTTTGTAGCTCGAGCGGTTTAGGCTTTGCATTGATAAATCAGTCAGTCATGACCTCCGTCCTCCATAAGCGCAAGCCTGGGGGTGGTAGGTGAGGCCATCTGTCACCCTAGCAGAAGCAGGCCGGGGTTGTTGTAATAACGCGCTTCGCGCGCCCCCCTTTCGGGAGCACAAAGGGGACATAGGGGTTCCCACAGGAGGGGGTCATTTACGCAAGTAGATGGCCCGAGGTACGTCGGGGTATCAGGGTTTTCCTTCCTAGGGTACACCTGGTTCCCCGGCAACTGGTACCCGAGACGGCGTGCAGTTTTTGGTCGGTACGAGTCCGACATAACCACCGGTGGGTGGTATCGGTGGTGGTGGTGGTGGTGGTGGTGGAAAAAAAAACAAAAGTAGGTTCGATCCAATAAAAAACATTTTCACAAAACTTTCTGAGTGCCCTGGTATATTTTATCCTAATATTTTATTATTCATGAAGAGTTTAATTATCCTAGTATTTTCTTTTCAAGTTAGTATAAACAAGCATTTTCCCTACGTGTATGTTAAGGTAATGTTGTGAAAATATGAATACGTACATATTTTTATTCCTAATTTGGCTGTGAAAAATTGAATAAAGAGAGTCCTCCGAGTTAATGATGTGTATGTTATGCGGTGTATTCTTAACGAAACATTTCTTCGAATGAATCCACCAATTAGGGAGCTTTACGAGTATGTGTTTCTTTGAATGGTAATATCCCTACAATATTTTGACTAAGTGAAAAATTACAAAATGAGGCAGCGGAACCCTTATAGCATCACTTATCCGTCTGTCTTTTATTACACACAGCTATTTCGCTATCTTACATTCGACATTTTCGTATTGTTATGTTTTGTGGATTTTAATATTCTAGAGTACAACCGTGAGAATATTTTTATCCCTTATTATGTCATATTAAGGATTATTTTCCTGACTAAATGTAGCCTATGGCTGTTCTTAAACATTGTAAACAAAAAAGAAAAATCAACATTTATTCTCAGTGTGTGTTGTGTTGTAATCAGTATTGATTAAAGAGCTCACTAATATACATTTGTTTTTTTGAATATTTATCTTCAGTATTGGACCTGTTACAATTTTGTCGTAAGTATAACTAAGTATTTTTGTTGATAATGTCTTTAATTTTTTTTGTTACGAATACATATTACCAAAACTTTTTTATTTTTTAGTATCATAGAATTTTAGGAATTCAAAGTTTCATTTAGTCTTACTAACATAATGGAGCGTAAATATACAACTAAGACGTTTTAAAAAGATGTTTTTTTTATCGGTATTGATTTTTTTGACCCATGATCAAAGGTATGATTAATACTATAGTCTGTCTTCGTGTTCGGGAGCGTTACTCTTATACCCTATACCTATATATACGTAATGAGTGTAGCTATAAAACTTTGGGGGTGCCTTATTGTCAAAAATATATGATGTGATGGGAGTGGTGGCAAAATGAGAAAGATCGAGTGTGTACGTAATGCACGTTTTTTTCTATAATCCATAATTCCATACTTATATTATAAATGTGAAAGTGAGTGTCTTTGTTTGTAAGTTTGTTACTCTTTCACGCCTAAACCTCTAAACCCCGACCCTAATGTGACAAACTATTAGAATAAGTTTTTTGGTCCAGGTATGTATTTTTTTTTTTTCTTTGGATATTTTTTGGTTTTGCTTTGTTTTTATATTTTATATTTTTGTGTTTCTACTGTCTACCTGAGGGTGTGTTAACTTAACATTTGGAACCTATGTGCGAATGCCTGTCCATAGCAACGATGTCATTAGGTTTAGTTTTTAGAAATTGTATTTTATGGTGTTAGTATGCCGAAGATAATAAAATAAAATAATAATATAATAGAATATATTTTACTACATTCACACAACGCCATCTAGTCCCAAACTAAGCCGAGCTTGTACTATGGGTACTAGATAACTGATATAAATACATATATACTTTTTTTTGTAAATACAAACATATTATACATAGAAACATTAAATGTTCATGCACACAAATGTTTGACTTGAGCGGGAATCGAACCCGCGACCTTTGGATTGGCAGTCCGTTACACAAACAACTACGCAATCCGGTCGTCAAAAATAAAAAAATATTTTTAATATTTACAAGTAGAAAACAATAACATTATGTTTCTCCCGAGCATGTTACATGGGTGCATCATGCAATGTTACATGATTCACTTTCAGCCGCTAATCTTGCGTGCATATGTGTAAAGAAAAAGTAATTATAGAGAAATGAAAGCTATCACTCTTACTACAAATTTATCTGAACAGATAATTATAATCATAACTTTACACATCTCACACACGGCAGTCTGATACCAAAATAGGCAGAGCCTGTGCATATTATAGATAAATTACAGACAGAACTAATTAACTTGCGCATTACTCAATATTTGTCTAGGTTGGGATTCGAACCCAAGAATTCCGGCAAAGCAGTTATCGTGACTAACCACTTAAGTACTATAGTTCAAAGCTAATTCTAAATATCCACTAGCCTCTCTAGCTTTTTCACAAAATCCGCCTAAAAACTATAGTTACCAACAACGAGATAACACAGATATTACCAAGCAACGGTTATGAGTTAGCTATTTTTATTTTTGAATCCGTCCAATTTTGCGGACGTAACATAAACTCAACTGTAATCCCACGAGGGTTAGTCACGCGGGGTTACGTTATTACATACAACGGCATACGAAAAAAGGAATCCAACGTTTTATGCGAAAAATGTTCGGTGTTTGTCCATAAAAATATGAGCGTACGGTTATATGTTCCTTCGCGAAATACAGAATAGGAATTAGCGCCTGGTAAAATACATGAAAAATAATATATTTATGACTTACGTGGAAAATCACGTAAGGGATGGTTAATGGCTCATTAATAGAGGATATTTATGATCTTGTTAACCTAGATCCATATTACATATCCATGTTACATAGTCTCAGTACGTAGTGGATCTACTTTTCACAGTCACGGCAAAAATAAATAAGTCATAAACTATAAATATATTAAACTTTTGTGATTTTCATAAGCTGTATTTATTTATAATATTTTCTTATTAATTAATTTCTACAAGATATATCTGAAATCAAAAATTAGATTGCAAAACGGAATCGAGTGATAACTACTCAATAGCCTATAACCCAAATGCTTCTAGAATTATAAAACAATAAGGTCAGTAATATTCACAATCGTTGAAAAATCCCACTCCCTAGGCCGTGTAATTTCAATTCAACATTTACTAAATCTTACATAAAGGAATAACCATCCACTGTGATATCAAAAACAAACGAACGAATGAACGATCCTTGACGACTCTAGTTTACTAGTAGTAGTTACTGCTAAGCACAAGAATGACTTTTATTTGCTTCTCTAGCCAATTTAGTGTTAAAAATGAATTAAATAGTCGTTAAACATATACATACAAAACCAGGCGACAAAACGACTTCATTTATATTGCAGTGATTCAAATCCGCCTGTAACATCAATATCTTGTCCAAATACTATCTGTTCTTACTTGCTCTAATACACCTACTCTAACTTATTTCTACATCGCCCTAAGGTAGACTGAAAGAGAATTCTTTTAGCATTAAGTCAGCCTCTATACACATAGTGAATAAAGTAATAAAATGTGCATAAGTAAATAAATAAAATAAATTTATTATTATAAAGTAAATCTGTAATCCTAAATCTATTTTATAGAATTAAAAAGTTACATTTATAAGTAGTATGTTCGTAGCTGATGTTGCAGTATGTTTTCTTGCTTTGTATTTGTTAGTTATTTGACTTGCTGACATTTATTTTTATGCACTTAAATGTATTTACTAACCTACATATACTTTCTAAATGTACAACTACTTATGAGCAAGCACCGTGAGATCTGATAATGTACTATTTGTACAACTTACTACATAGATAAAAAATAAGCTAAAGACTAATTGCGTCTAATTTTATTAACCGACTTCAAAAAAAGGAGGAGGTTCTCAATTCGACTGTTTTTTTTTTTTTTTTTTTTTTTTTTGTATATTTGTTACGCGATTACTCCGGCAATTATAAACCGATTTGAATAATTCTTTTTTTATTTGGTAGGTCATACGTCAGAGGTGGTCCCATTGTCACCAGGTCAGGATCTGATGATGGGATCCTGGGGAAATCGAGGGAAACCCTCAAATTTTGTAGGCATATACACTGTTTATCAGAAATTATCTTAATCTATGTAGATTTTTGCATCTAATGGTCACCATCTGATGTTGCTGAGCTGATGATGAAGCTGATGATGAATGGTTTAGGAGTATGGGATCTCTGTAACAAAATTATGTAATACCATCGAATTTGAATGTGTTTGAGTCTAATTAATAAGGACTCCGATCCTATGTGATATTCAGGGTCTGATGATGGAGACGGTAAATAGCCATGGGAACTCTGTAATAAAATAAAGTAATTCCGCCGTGTTTGTGCTCATTTGATTCGTCTCGACTAGGAGCTTCATGCTAGTCGATTTTTAACCAACATCAAAAAAGGAGGGTTTTTGATTCGACAGTATGTTTTCTTTTTGTATGTTTGATACGCGATCATTCCGCCAATTTTGACAATCGTACATTTTGTTTGTCCACGGCACCTAGGATACACGGATACGATAAACATTTTTAGAGTTGGGCTGTGAGTGTGAGCGTTTATTTATGACCTTAAAAATCACACTTACTTCCCACGAAAAATTAAAAAATTAAATTATTTTTAAAAAAAATTGAAAACTTCAAACAACTAAAAAGCAATTTTTAACCGACTTCCAAAACACAAAAGAGGAGGTTCTCAATTCATCTGTATTTTTTTTTATGTATGTTTGTTCCGTGATTTCTCCGTCAATTGTGGACCGATTTTCAAAATTCTTTTTGTTATCGAAAGGGTATGCTCCCGAATTGGTCCCATTATCACCAATTCAGGATCTGATGATGGAATCCTAGAGAAATCGAGGGAAACCCTCACAATTATTGGGAATTTGACAGCCCCGACAACGTGTTTTAGCTACGAGCATTTCTTTTGCCAAACAAACCATGGCAACCGTCAGAGACTGCGCGATGTGATGCGCAGAGAACTTGCAGTATTTATGTCCCTACAGTAATTTTCGTTGTATTAAGAAGAAAAGGTTGAAATTTTGTATTCTATCTTGTTAAAATAATTCGGATAGACGTTTTGTTGCTATGGATGGCATCGCATTTCGTTTGTAAGTAATTTTATACTTAATTTATTAAAATAGTTCTGGAAAAAACTCTTAAATTTTGTGTGGGTCAACTTTCTAAGGAGAGGCCTATGTCCAGCAGTAATTTAATATAATATTTAATATAATCTAACAAACTACAGTTTGTTACTATACATTACGGTACGTAGTGTTTTAAATATCGTACTTATCTACTCATTACAAACATATCCTACACTAAAAATTGTAAAATAAACCCTTTTAAAAAAAAAGTTGAACCGACTTCAAACAACACCGACAAAGAGCACTAAAAATTAAAAAATAATTACAAATCTAAGTAAAAAACTATAATAAGTACCCTCAATGTAACAGGTAACATTATAATACCAATAGTCCCTTCTAGTCTGTTTGAAGTCGGTGCCAAGCTCGATGCACAATAAGTAATACTGGTCTATGGCAGCTGTATATTAGCACAATGAAAAATTAAGAATTCAAAATAATTGTAATGAAACATCGAAGATTTTGTTAATAATAAAGACCAACCAAATAAATTACGTGCGCAAACTTATCAACTACTTATTAAAGCATTCAAAATAATAATATAATTGGAGATGTGGACTTTAGCTCGTTCAACATGTTTTGCGCAGCATGAAGACTGTTGCAGCTGCCGCGCTACATTCTACCATGCCTATCAAGCACCTATTTGGCTTGGCACCGACTTCAAACAGACTAGAAGGGACTATTGGTATTATAATGTTACCTGTTACATTGAGGGTACTTATTATAGTTTTTTACTTAGATTTGTAATTATTTTTTAATTTTTAGTGCTCTTTGTCGGTATTGTTTGAAGTCGGTTCAACTTTTTTTTTAAAAGGGTTTTTTATTGTGTTATTAATTTATCATCAGGTAATATAATCAGGTAAATTAATGTAATTTAGTGTAATTTTGTGGTAGAATATTATTATTATTATTATTTAAACTTTCTGTGACCAAAACAAATAACTATAAAAATACTGAATCAAAAGATGTTGAAATATTGTTGGCAATATGCATACATGATGAGGATACTATATTCGTCTGGCTATTAACATTCTACGTACATAGAGAATAAAGGCATGAATAGCAACGACGTAGAAATCCTACTTAGTCTGACATAAAAATACTGGTGTTCACCGATTAAAATTTACCTTACATGCAGAGAAGTAAACTCAAATTGTATTTTTACGATCACGTATATTATACGATCAGCATTCTTGCTGAACTAGTTAGACCGAAACCGGTTCACCTAAATGAGATAATGTAAAAGTCCCTAAAAGCGATTTCCTCAATACCTTTTGGAACTGCTTTGCTTTAAAATAATATGTTTAAAGGTTTGTCAAGTTTTAGTTAAAACTAATAGTAATTAAATCTGAAATTTATCAGAATAAAATTGGAGGAGTTGGAAATACAGTAAATCCACTTCCCTCCTTAGCAAAGCGGGAGACAAAATGAAGTAAAAATGGGCATACACCCTTTTAAACAGGGAAGCACCACGGCCACAAAATATTATGGGTCCTAAGTGAGCTATATTTGATTTCTATAATATGTGTGTCAGAATCGCCTAAACGCACGGCAATTCACCCTAGTTGACACAAGATCCACATAGTATACCGCCCCAGATGTCACCTGCAAGCTATTCAGCATTATATTACGTACATTATACCAAAGACTACATTCCCAGAGGATGTGATAAGCAGATTGTTCACAGTTAGAGTTAGGTATTGAGCATTAACAAAATTATGACTCAAATAATTTAAATGAATGCAGATTGCTCTTAAAGTTACCATGACCCGTAAGAAATTGGGCGAAACAGTAATCCACCTCAAGCCATGTTCGCGACAACCGTTCGCTATTCGACCCTTAGATGATTCGTCCCAGCATTGCTGCCATTCGTCTTTGAGGTCATTATAGACATTGGACTGTTGTTGAAGCAATCTTGTAATTTTATCACGATCTCGTGCCCCCAAAAAAATTCATGGCTGTACGTCTCTACACCTCGAGATCGAAAGGAAGCACATCTGCCAACACGGGTAAACCCTCAGTTTTAACCGTCCTATATACCTTGCACAAGAATATCAGTGCAAGTCCTTGGCATTGTAAGAGTTTGCGACGGACAGCGCCTACGTTTCGTATCGGCTCATAATGATGCACCATAGCACATAGCCATACTACTTATACACTACATACATATGCCAACTATAATGTATCGTATTTATATAACGAGCACTTTATTTAATAGGAAAGCTTTAAAATGTTATTTAAATTTTACAAGAGTACACGGAGGTTGAGTGACATCAATTAAGCGGATATGTATTTTCCGCGGGCACTGACACACACTTTTCTTGAAATTTAAGTAACTTAAGTTTAGTAACGTTGAATAGTTTATGATAGTTTCTTTTTAATGACAACTCCCGCACTAGGAATATATCCTGTGTCACGGGAGACTTTTACAAACATACATGAAACGGACGCAAAGAACACCCAGACTCAGAATAACAATTTGTTGATCACACAAAGTGTTGTCCCTTGTGGGGATCGAACCCACAACACTCAGCGCAGTAGGAAACGGCGAGGTGATCGCTTAAACCACCATCCAACAATCCATGCACTCTTTTATATTTATATATATTTCGATATTCTTACTTGATAAAATCTCCTACACGTAGCTGGATCTGCAAAATTTCCATTTCCTTGTGTTCCTTCAGGACATACAAACTCCTCATCTTTTTCTTTTTGTTGATAACTTCCTAAAAGACAGAAAATATGATTCAGTTATGTATACCCACATAACACTTTTACCACCGCGCGATAGCCATATAGATAACTACAATTGCGCATGTGTTGGCCTCTACTATCCTAAGGTAAAATGTAAAGTTCACTCTACAGTTTCTAATTATTTTCTCCTACAACCTTCTAAAATTAATGAAGTAAGAAGTTGAACTTTGCATAGTATGTTTTAGCTAACTGTAATTTGCTTTATAATTAAACTGCACATAGGTCGCGTACGTTAACAATAAATAATAGTTTCAACAACAATTTAGTACCATTATATAGAAAGTGAAAGTACGTTATGCAAAACATTTCATATATTTAGATAGAGACATACTGTCTATTTAGACAGTGGTCACGATTGTGATATTAGTTTAATTAATCTAGCTTACGTTAGGTCAGTTAAAGTAGTGAATTCCTTGACCGAAAAATCTAGAAATTTTAAATAATTATAATTTAATGTAATTTATGCGACCAGAATATGCAGAATGTTTTATTCAAATATAGCAAATAAACAAGGCACAAAAAATATTTTATTAAAAAGCTTTTTTATCTACCTTCAAAAGCTATTTAAAAATCTATGGTCACAATACCAGAACTAAAACCAAAATTGCAAAAGTACCTAACTTTAAAAACCACGGGTTATTATCATTACTTGAATGTAGATGATTTTATCGTTGTATCACTTTATTTTAAACTTCATCTATGGCGGTTTGATGTTTGTCTGTGGTAATATTAACGTTTTAATTAATATTTTAATTTCCATTTTTTGTCAAATACATGTTAGTTTGTGGCACTAATCTCTAATTTAAACTTAAGCTCTAAAAACAGCACTTTACTCTGTTCTGCTGAATGCCTACACTAAGAACAAGGTATATGTAACTATTAGTAAAGAAATTGCGCGCGATATGTCTAGATGAGAAAGATATCTAGAACTTTGATTGGCACACAACACACAACTATTAAATATAAATGTCGGTCGTAGTCATTTTTACGAAACATATCGTGTTCTAGCTCACGAAATGTTTATCACTAACAGATTTTGTTGTGGAAATCCATAAACTTAATTTTGCATTAGGAAAAAAGATCATCGAAATGCTCACAAATTTCAGAACACACGATACTTGTAGACGCTCCAAAGTTAAAAAACTGACGATGACATGTTTTGGGTAACCTATATGGAAACATCCAACCTATATCCAAAGTGGAAATTGTGATCAATAATTTTATTATAGTTAAACACATATTACAGAAACTACTTCTGTATAACCAAAATTGTATCATTGGAATAACAATAAAGTTTTAAGAGAAGAAAAAATTATCACAGATTTTTTTAATTAATAAAAGAAATTAATATTTCCAAACACCACAACTCTTACATATTTTGTACTAAAGTACAATTAATAATACAAAATTAATCCCGGCCTTAAATGTAGTCTGATTAATTCTAATTAATTAACGCAATGAAAATCGTCGACCACATCGAATACAAAATAATTAAACAGACAGCCTTAAATTATTCACCAGCTATTTCTAACAATTATGTTTATACAATGGCTCTGAGAGTTTTTGAACAGTGAGTGTGTTTCCTGTTAATTGAATAGAAGATTAATCTTTGAGTGTTTATCTCACAATCCATAAGCAAACAGACAAACCGCAGCGCAAAGCTCATTCATAATTAGGTAGTTGATTACTATATTTAGTGGGCACATTAGAGCTATGAGAATTGTTTGTTATTTATTTGTGTTCATCACTTTCACGTGTCAATAAAATATAACTGGTCTACGAGCGTAGGGTTAATTCAATTGCTTAGTAAGTTTCTGTTTATTATTGCTAAAGTTTGAATTTTCAATGTACGTTGAAATACCTAAAGTAAATTTGCTATCAAAACTAATAAGTAAAGTGGCAACCGCTTAACTTATTATCAGAACAAAGTTATTATGGTTATGAATATGGTATAACGAATGAAAAGAATTACATTCTGAATATATTCTTTTATCAATCAGACCAAAGGGTCTCTCAAGTTAACTGATTTATTTAAAAAAACGAAACTCACTAAAAACGAATTCATTCCTTCCAGTGTTTTGTATCCAAGAACTACTACAATCAAATTTTAAATCTATAAAATAAAATAAAACCTTGCAAAACCATCTATTAACTTATTCCACTGGCAAGCTAAGAGACGTGTGCAATATGTGGACATAAAATCAGGTTTACGGAGTGCGTACATACGTACAGGTATAAGTACGTGAAGTGTCAATATCCTCGATCGTAAACGGTCATATGCCTCAGTGTCAAGTGAAAGAAAGGACATGCCAGATGAATAATGATTAGACACGACAACTATATTGTAAACTTTTTGTGCTTTTTATTTCAATTACATTAAGGCTACTTCTATAATTGCCTATCGCACGCTTTTACTTATTTTGACCAAATACTCAAAATATAACGCAACCACGATAAAGAGCTTTCACTGAGTATTATTTCTTGTAACAGTTACGTTAACGACTAACGAATTGATCGTCGGACCGCTTGCATAAGATTACGAATTACGAACTTTTTGTGCTTTTTATTTCAATTACATTAAGGCTACTTCTATAATTACCTACCGCACGCTTTTACCTATTTTGATCAAATACTCAAAATATAACGCAACCACGATAGAGAGCTTTCACTGAGTGTTATTTCTTGTAACAGTTACGTTAACGACTAACAAATTGATCGTCGGACCGCTTACATAATTGCTTGATTTTTAATTCCTTATATGTAGAAACCGATGCTATGTTTTTCAACGATTTTACCACTTATATAACATATGTAATTAATTCCCATAATAAAAACATTTTAAAGGCACTAACCGGTAATGAAAATGGAGCAAATTATGAAAATTCGCATATACGATAAAGTGATCACGCTATTTGCGGACCGCGCACTGCTCACTGTGTGTATCGACATGGTGCCTTTCACCGACGCGCGCGCACTGGCGGACGGTGCCGGCCACTCGCAGCCATCACCAGACGACCTCCACCAACGGCTTTCTCCTCAAACCCCCTGACATTCATCAAATGAAGTTAAAGTGATTGCGTATCTCGATGATGTCAAATTAGGTTCCTTGTGGTAGATGCAACCGCAAAAGTTAGCTCCTAAGGAAGTATACGAGTTCTGTCTTTAATATATTTAACGAGGAAAACTTTGTTAAATGATAAATGATATTTTCTTCTATAAGTAAATCTGTTCAGGTAAGTCAGACTTTATAGCTAGAAGGAGCCGGCGCTGGTTAGAAATGGTATACAGAAACCGTCAGAAACATGCTCAAAGTTAAAGAATGTCCAATTAGTTACGCGGTGGTGATAATAGGATAGCGCTTATGTTTACGTTATCCATTTCAAAATTGTTACTAAGGAAAATAGCAACACAACATCACAAACATACATATACATACATGTTAATATTAAATATTATTTTTCCACCTTTCAATTTTTTTTATGTACTGATATTATTGTCTATTCTTTTGTAATAGAGAGCGAGCGATGCTCTATTACGTGAAACCAAATACTATATATATTATTGTTTGCGTGGCCCTGCTGGTAAGTAAGGAAGTAAAAGTATGATATAAAATCACAAAAATAAACTACGGTTTCTGTGATGCCTACGCATCTAGGCGAAACGGTAGTGCAATAGCCAAGTTTTTCCAAAAAAAAACAAAGGCATAGCTGTATCCTCCTTATTTCAAAACAGGTCATTTCAAGCCAAAGTTCCTTAGATTGTTACTGCCACACTAATCATTAAAATTTTGGAAAAATTGTAGAAGACATCCAAAATAAAAAATTTGAACAACATTAATTTCTAACCTGAAATGAACAAAGAACTCTAACATCTCGCAATTTCAGTCCTGTTTTCTGGATATTTCGGCATTTTAAATAACAGATAGCAAATTATAAAGTTGTTTTACACGACTTTCGAAATTTATATTTTTTTGTGTGTTTACAGACACTCATAAACACAATTTTTTGTAGATAAAATATTAAAGTCCACAAATTCTTTGCGATATTCATTTACGAGGCAAATGCAAAAAATTTTTTTATCGCAAGAACGAAACTGCAACCTACCTTAGATATGTACACCATTAAGATTTAACATTTTTAATATGAAAGTTATTGTTTATTGGTTTTATAATTATTTATTTGAAAGTAGTGTCCGACCGAAAAAGGTTTTTCAGCCGAAACCAAAACCGAACTTTCAGCCTTTGTGTCAATTTCGGCCGAAACCGAAACTCTAACTATCATTTTAAAATTTCGATTCTAAACTAATTTCTATCTTATTACCTAAACCACTGTAATAAGGAAGATACACGGCATTAATTCTAAAGAAGAGAAAATGTATTTAGGTAAGTCGGGCCGGTCGGTTAAAGGGCGAGGCGGCTGACTAGGTAATTTGAACGGACTATATTTCTGATAGTTTAAGTTTCTCTCAATTGAATTGTTTGTTGGGTGGTTGAAAATGGTACAATAGCGGTACAGACTACAATTCAACAACAATTAAGTATCTACAAGTATCTATAACAAATAAATGTTAGGGTCGTATTACACGGGCACGCCCTCATCGCGGCGGTAAGACCCGTTATGGAGGATTGGCTCGAGAGGCGTCACGTGACCCTCTCATACCGACTGACGCAGGTGATCACTGGGAAAGGATGTTTCGGGGATCACCTGTGTCTGATCCGCAAGGAGCCAACGCCTGAGTGCCACCACTGCGATGGCCAGACCGTGGACACGGCTCTCCACACACTGGCAGAGTACCCGGCGTGGGTTGAGCAGAGGCGAGACCTCGTGGCGGTCATCGGAGTGGGAGTTCTCTCGCTCGATAGCCTGATTGCGGCTATGAGCGAGAGTGCGTGGAACTCTGCCGTCTCCTTCTGCGAGCAAGTTATGCTCGCAAAGGAGACGGCGGAGCGGGACCGGGAGAGGTTTAGGACTCTCCCGGCCCGCCAGGCCCGGGAACGGTCCGGGTACCGCAGGCGACTCAGGCGCCGGAGGTCGCAGAACGTCCTCCATAAGCGCAGGCCTGGGGGTGACAGGTGAGGCCATCTATCACTCTAGCAGAAGCAGGCCGGGGTGGCGGCGAGCGCGTTGCGAAGCGCAACAGCGAACGAGCACAGGGAACATGGGGTTCCCACACGGGGGGGGGGGGGGGTCGTCTACTCGTCTCTAGATGAGATGATACCTAATAATTACCTTTGAGATAAAATGTTCATAATGTTAGTTACAAGTAAAGAAACAACAAATACAAAATTATTTATGCGTAAGACACAAATAACTCGAGGCTCGACTGGAGTGATACTAAGGCCTCAGAGAAAACCTGGTTAAGCACTTCTTTCGTTGCTTTTCTCCGAGTGAGACAAGTCACCGAAGCCAAAACTCTCCCCTTTCCCCTGATTCTGGGGGGATCATTCGTTCTGTCTGCTTACTTGCCCTCCTAAACCATAAAAAAATATCACACTGGATGGCAGTGAATTGAGCCAGAACCGGTGTCTATAAGTTCGCAGCGAAGTTAACCGAACGACGCACGACACTTTCGAACACTGAGCTTCGGTGCGGCCGTAAGTTTCGGCCGGTACTGGCCGAAACCGAAACTAGATCTTTTAGCAGAAACTGGCCGAAACCGAAAATTCGGTCGATCACTATTTAAAAGATGGTACTTGTTTATCCAATAAAATATTGCAATATTACTATAAAACTAAAAATGTAGCTAAAAACCAAAAGTATTAAGTATAATAATAAATAATAGTATTAAGCCTTTTTATTTCCAACAACAACAAAACATGTTTTTCTAAAAGCCACGTATATACCTATATTATTTTATTCTGTTGTTGAAACCCCACTTTGGGTGTTGGCCTCCTCCAGCCTACTCCATGTTTCCCTATTTTTAATTTTGCTTCTCGACGGCTTCTTTTTCTTTTGCCCATAGGTCTTTTCCATATTGTTGTTTCAACTGTCCATCTTTTGTCGATGTATCTCGCTAGATGTCCTGCCCAACGCCACTTTGTGTTAGAACGTACTTGAGAGCGTCTATTACCCTTGTCTTTTTCCTTACGTGTTCGCTTCTCATCTTTTGAATTTTTCTTATTTTCGTTATGCTTCTTTCCATCATTCATGTCCACACTTGGCAGCCGTACGTGAGAGTCGGTAGGATAAAGATGTAAATAACCATCTTTTTCATATATAAAGGGAACATTTTCCACAAAATCTTAAAGTTGTTATAGTAGAGGTTTTAATAACATTTTAAAGTCGGTCCTTGCCTGTAGTAGGCAGTCCCGATACTTCTAATGTATCCAAAATATAACTACTACTACATTATCTTTACTGTCCTTTGATAGCGGCTTTACTGGTCGATGTAAATAACAAAGAGAGATGAAATTGGTGTCAAGCAGCTAAAGACGGTATGCTACGCATTGGTGGAATCCAGGTTAAGGTACAGCATAATGTGTTGGGGGGGTAACAGTTATGAGTATAACACGCAGAGAGCCTTTGTCTTGCAAAAACGTGTTATTAGAATTATTGTCCGAATATCACAACGTAATTCTTGTAAAGAGCACTTCAAGAATTTAGGTATCCTAACGGTCCCCAGTCTATAGGTGGTAACTATTTTAAACAATTTCACAAAGTATACATTAATGCGAAACAGAAAGGGAAAGGGAAGTTAGAGAAGGTACGCGGCGAAAAACTATACAAAATAAAATGGCGCCTAAATTAAATATAGCGAAGCATTATTCAAGGTATCAATCAGTGGAGTTATTTAATAGACTACCGGCCTATCTAAAGGAGATCGTATATAGTCCGGTCAATTTAGACATTCGAAGGTACATAAAGTCCCAACAAGCTGAATTTCTGTGAAGTTGTTCAAAACATCATTATAAACAATGTCTAGAAGATCCCCATCATTCCCCTGAAATAAAAAAAATTAATTCAAAGGTCAAAAAAATGAGTTTTTCAGCAAAACGGTAAGTTTTATCATAAAAGTACCTCAGACAAAAATTGTAGATCATAAAATTATCTATAAAAAATGTATCAATACTTTTTACCACCACGTTAAAAAAACGCGCTAAGTACACTACCTCATAGGTGGCGTGGAAACGTGTGCATATTATGACGATAACAACTTTTATAACTTTTTGAATCGTTATATCTCAGAAACGGTGGCTCGTAAGAAAAAAGTATTCATACATTTTTTATAGATAATTTTATGATCTACAATTTTTGTCTGAGGTACTTTTATGATAAAACTTACCGTTTTGCTGAAAATCGCGGAAACTCATTTTTTTGACCTTTGACCTTGAATTAATTTTTTCCTTACAGGGGAATGATGGGGAACTTCTAGACATTGTTTATAATTATATTTTGAACAATTTCACTGAAATTCAGCTTGTTGGGACTTTATGTAACTTCACTCTCATTTTTTGGTCTAAATTGACCGGACTAATATAACACTACAACTTTTAAATTCAATTTAAAAGCATTCTTGTTGGAGAAATGTCTTTATTGTGTAGATGACTTGAACAGCGAATGACGTTGGGGCGTCGATTGGTTGTCAGATGAAAAATTTAATTGCCACAAGCTTAATTCATTAAATAATGTATTGCATTATTGATTATTCAATTCATTAAAGATTATCATGAATATAGGCTAGTATGTTTTTGTTTTTCTTTTTTATGTATTTTATTGTTTTCTTAAACTTTTTTATTTTGTATCGTTGGTATGACATCTTTTTAATTAGTATTGTTGGTTTGACATTTTATTTGTATCATTGTAACAGTTATGTAGATTGTAGTGTGTGCATGCAATAATTCAGTTATTTTCCATTTGATGTCTTTATTGTTATTTTCTATAATTTATGAAGGATTTCGCAAGACGCAATGTAAATTGTTTATGAAATGGAAATAAATAAATAAGCAAAAT